ATGTGCGTCGCATAAAAAAATATCGTTGTAAATTCAAGAGAAACATATCGCAGAAAATATTGATGATACATTAAAATATATATATATCTATACATGAACACAGAAAATTGTTGATGATACGTTTCCGGTTCGATCGATTGTTTTTTAGTTTGATGATCGAAGATTAACATATTATAAATTGTTGTAAGAATATCCTTGACAAGGTTTTAAATAAATAATAATTATTGATAATTAGAATTAAATAATATTTGAGAATTATAATTAAATAATATTTAATAATTATATTTTTGATTTATAGTTATATAAATGGAAGAAATAACAATAATACATGATATAATATTTTAATATGAAAAATGAGATTAGAGATGAAAGCTGCGTCTCCATATTACTGATCTACGCCACTGAGATCTGAGAGGTATTGCTGCAATAAACTCAAATGCTTTCCGCTCCTTTTACCCAGTACGGTCGAGTCTGTCAAACACGATGGTCGTTCCTTCTTTATCTGTATCTACTCTTCATGAGTAAACTTGAAATTTTTCCATTCCAGTGATGATCAAATCTATTAGAAAATCAACAACAACGATAGAGTAAATTATCATTTATTCTAAATTATTCCAGTATTGTTTTATATTGATATTTTATTATTATAAAAGATATTAAGCATAAAAAAAAAGAAAAAAAAAAGAATGAACCAAGGAATCGAAAAGTGGTAAAGTTAAAGAACAATGAAATTATGAGGATCAATTAAATAGAAAAATAACATAAATTGTCGAAGAGATATCTCTTATAGGGAAGAAAAGGATAGGAAGAAAAACAAGGAAGAAAAGGAGGAGACGAAAAGTTAGTGGGCGGAGATAAAGGACCAAAGGGACGTATCTTGATCATTTTCGCCTGTGGTTTTGTTCGCTGTTCTAATCGGAAGGGGAAAAAACCCGTTGGACAAGTTTTAAAGAGGGCTAGAACTGAAATATTCAAGCCACTTAACATCGTAGATTATTATAAATTTCTAAAAACGTGAAATCAGGTGGTTTATATTGTTCGATTAAAAAATAAAAATTAAAAAAAAAAAGAAGAAGAAATATTGGAATTATTATCTCGATTTGATAAATGCTGGAATTCATGTTTAGAATTTAATCAATTTGTGACTTTTGCTGCGTTTGTTGCAATTAAAGTGAACAATAAGTTGAAACGGAAAAAAATATGAAAGTGTTATTTTAAAAAAATAATGCAACGAAATGTGAGTTTAACGTATGTCAAAGATTCACGTGTAATGTGAATCGAGAAAAAATTGTATATATCGAAGAAAAATGGATGCTATTTCTCTCCTTGGATGAATATTATATTATAATAATATTTTTTGAATTGAAAAAAAGGATAAGAAAGAAAGAAAAGAAAAACACAATATTAATAAGTGTTTTATAAAGTGCAGTGTAATTTAAACATTTCTAAATATTTAATATTTAAATATTGTTAGTTTTTTTTTGTCACAATGACTTCTATTTTCCCTGAAGAAGAGTCAAAAGTTGCAAGAATAAAGCAAAAATTAATGAACGATGTACACATAAAGGAGGAAACACGATCGTTTCTTAGCTTTTCCAGAGAGAACTTGAGTATCTCTCAATCTGACCTTGAACAAGGCTACAATAAACAACGTTTTCGACCGAAAAGAAATACGATTCTAAGCGTGACGGCACTCTTAATTGCATTTCTTTGCTTGGCTCTTGAATGTTGGGAGTTTCATTATTCTTTGATCAACGCACGAGAGATTGAAGATTTGAAACGAAGTGTGGACAGTTTGAAACATCGTATTTTGGAAGAAGATCTACTCGACGAAGTGAAAGCTTTTGAAGAACAGGTGATGCTTTTTTATTCACTAGTGAGTATGTAAATCAATCATCATATCAAAATGTCTCTTTTATTTTTTTAAACTGAAAAATAAAAACATGATAATTTATGAATAATACAAGATTAAAATTCCATAAAACAATATACTATTTCTTTTTTTTTTTCTTTTCTTTTCAAGGCTTAACAATTCTTCTTAAAAACAAACGAAGATATTTTTAACATTTGTTAAATTCCAATACTAATATTGACTTTTTTTCTAACGAGTCTTCTATTATAAAAAAAAGAAAAGGTTGGGTTATCAGTCTTGAATGAAGCTTAAAGTCACGGACAAATAGACCATGTGTTTACATGTAAACGAGCATAAAATAGTTCGATGATATAAATAATTTTATAAAAAATTTAATAACATAAATATATAATTCAATACTTAGAATTCGAGTCTCGCGCAATTATTTACGTAATGCATCGCATAATCACCATTTATAAAATTTGATGCATACAAATTGACTATGTATATTGCGTGATGATTAAACAATCTAATTATATACAATTTCCAAGACGTTTCTATTACGTTAAGGATTATTGATTATCTTTTTTCTTCATTGCGTCTTCTTCAAGAAACTTATCTTATCTTTTTTTTTTTTTGTAAATGTGTTGTAAATATTTACAAGAAAATTGGAAAGAAATAACAGCACATGGATGCTGACAATAATTTTTTTTTTGTTTATAGTTATATACCGATGATGATAACGATGACGATGACGACGACGACGACGATGCAGAGGAAGTAAATATCAACAAGACAGATTATTTCAACTATGACGAGGATACGTTTTCTTTGCAAGATTATACTCCGATATTTGGCGCCAGACCATCCGATTTCCCTGATTCGTCGACGATTGCCCCAGTACCTTCTCCGCCGGATCCTCCTATTGCAGATAAAACGTTAGTGAAATTAATACCAACAACGCGCAGGATCGGGAGTAAACAAAGCGAAGAATCGAAAAAAAATCATGATAACTCGAATCGAGACCGCAGTCAGGATAAAAATAATTTGGAAGAGGAAATGGAGAATCAGAAGAATGATACTAAACGAAAACGAGATGTATTAGACGCTAGTGATAACACGAAAGACTTTTTGTCGGATTGGAAAATAACCTTAAAACATAAACGATCGATTGATCAAAAGAATCAGAATTCCAAGAGATTACTCGTTAATAGACATTTGCTTAAAAATCATACCAAAAGAACAATTGCTTCTGATTCCACTTCTCGAGAGATGCTAAAGGAAAAATCTGTCCAAGAGGAACAAAATATGTTAGTTGTTAATATTTTATATCATATATTATAATGACATTGAAAAAAAAAAAATACCAGGATCTTTTAAATACTGTTGAGAGAACGTAAGAAAAAAGCATTGAGTATTTCCATTTCATTGTTTCTCGCAGGTCTGTTGTATCCAGTAGGCATCCTTCAAAAAAATATTATATTCACTCGTCTTTGGATACCACCGTGGCATCTTCGATGCCTCGTGATGAGTCTAACGTACAAGTTGTGACGAACCGCATTAAAAAAGTTCCGCGCAAATTTCGGAAGAATACGACCCATTCTCGAAAAATAATCGCGGTCCATTACGATGGAAATAAGAATGGATATTCAGAGAAAGATATTTATGCTGGAAATGGAAGAATTCGTCATGGAAATAGCATGTTTAAAGCATGGAAACCAAGCGATTGGGTGAATAATCTTGGCATGAATGAGTATTTCAAAATGTCCAACGATGGGAGTGTTACCATTTATGAACCAGGATTATATCTAGTTTATGCGCAGATTCATTACAATGACGATCACGATGAAATTGGATTTCATCTTCAAGTGAACAATCAGCCTATTCTTCAGTGCATGGTAAGATAATAATAATGTTAATGTTTGAAAAATAAATGATTTGATATCAAAATCATTGAAGAGCAAAAAAAGAAATTTGATAAATATATACAATAGAACATTATCATGTTTCTTAATTTTATTTCATTTAATGATATAAATAACTAACCTAACTAACCTAAAAAAAAAATTGAGATAGCAGTAGTTTTTCTGAGACCAGATAAAGGAATACTATTCATTAGCCAAGTTTGCTTTCATTTTTTTTTTTGTTATACAAAAAATGAATGAATATAGAATAAAATAAAAAATATATTATAAATAATGATAAAAAGAAACGATTATTATTAATGATTTTAGATCGACAATTCAGGCCATGCGCGCAACATTAGTCAAACTTGTTTCTCAGCTCAAGTGACACTTCTTAGAAAAGAAGATGTTTTAGTTTTCAAGGAGGCTAGCTCACCGAGATTCGCTATTTTCGATAAGGAGAACAGTTTTTTTGGACTGGTGAAACTTGGAGAACTGGGAAAGCATTTGAACTAATCTGTTTCAATACGTATTTATCTGGAACAAATTAAAAAAGAAACGAAGTGCTCCTCTTTTACTATCGTAAAAAGTAATTTATTAAATATTCAATGATGCAACAATAACATTAAAGTCGTCACTTTAATCGTTGTTGACTCGATAAAGATAGACGTTGGTCAATTTCATTAATTAAAGACCAATCGATTCTATTTTTACCCATAAATGCATATTACTATTGTAAATAAAATTCTTGCAGTTTATTAATATAAACACTTTTTTAAGCCATTTTTAAGAGAATCCAAAGAAAATGAGAGTGCAAATGGAAATAAAGTTACACTAAAATCTCGATGAAAATAAATCTTGCGATTTAACATGTAATATACTTGTTTTAACATGTAATATCGCAGATTAATTTTTTTTCGCGGTATTTTCTGGCTCGTTGACTGTCAATTGGAATCAAATCTCCAGGGCAATCCATCAGATCGACAATGAAGTTCGGTTTCAGCAGCTTTGTTGGAAAAATTGATGAAGCACGATCTTCGAAGATTAGATTCGAATCTATATATTTATGTTGATATTGTTGCAGAGGTTGATAAATCGTAACAATTTCTGGACAGGTCGTGTCTCTGTCTACATAAGCATGAAATTTATTTTCTTCCACTGGAACTCTCACCTAATAAAATTATTCTAAGCTAAGAAATTTAATTTATAAGAATTGAAATGTTAACGGATAATAAAAATCTAATAACTAAATTGATGAAGAAAAATTATAAAAATCCAATATCCTCTACCTCTGGTACAGCAATTTCGATCCAAGCTTTACCATATTCTCCTCGCACCAAGGCGGCAGGTAAATGTATTCTATCGGCGATCACTTTGAAAAGCAATGCTCTTTCGAAATAAGAACCAACTCGTAACATTCCCAATGGTATTACGCTGGTTTCTATGGTATCTTTAATTTCTTTCAAATGAATCTCTAATTGGTGATCCACGCATGTAATAAGAGGATCTGGTCCTGACATTTGTTGAGAAACAAATTTAGCTAACATTTGAGCACGGGAGACTACATAATTGATATTTATAAATCCTTTTGTTGTTTTTGATACTCTATATTGAAAAATAGTATGATGATTATGGAAATTGCACGAGTGAAAAAATTAGAATAATTTTCTTACACGTTTCTCGATTCATTAGCGATTAATTTGCATTTAAATAATTCTACATAATTATAGAGACAAGTATCACGCTGAAGAGTACCAAACTTGGTATCCAATGTTAACTTTGCTATTTCGGTCGACAAGAAAACGCCACGACTAATTGTTTCTTTCGATTCTACAAAAGAATGATCTTATCATTTTTAATTAAAAGAAAAAAAAAAATACGTAAATAAATAATATTTTTCACCTTCCAAATTCAATTGATTACAATCTTCTGGTTCACTACAATTGACTACATAGATAGGTTCCAGAGGACAGAATTTGAATCGAAGGATATCATCCAATATAGGAAATCTGATAAAAATTAAAAGAAATTTAAAAAAAATTAAAAAATGAAAATATCTATAAAATCTAAGAATATCATACGTGCAAACGTTTCTTCGAAGCACGTAAAATCCATCATGAGTGATATCGTGCAATGAAAGTCGTCCAGTAAAAGCGAACTTGATCGGCAGATGTGAATCAAATAAGGCTTCTATACACGTGTCCCAAGAAGGAACGATTCGCGCAGTGCTTCGGTTATTCAACATGCTATATCATTTATTATTTTCGTAAATAATATTATTGTTCGTGTATTATGTATTATTCGTCATAAAACAATTTTTTTTTTAAGCCTTACTAATTCAAGAATCTGGCCGAAACAAAAGCATTTGCCAGAACCGGATCCGCGCATAACAATTGAATCAATTGAGCAGCTGCGTTTCTTATTGGAATCGATTTGATGTCACATAATAGATTATATAATCTTTTGGGACCTTCGATCTTTAGAAATTCTTGTCTTCCCTTCTCCTCTAGACACATCATGGATAAAGCTTTACAACAGGCGATTTTGAAATCATCCATCGATATACAGGTTAACTATAAAATTAATCGAATGGTAATTCGTTTTTCATTTGAAAATTTGTAATTTGATTGATTTTGGTAAAAATTTAGAAAATTAAAATTAAAAAGAAAATATACTTCGAAAGATGCACACATAGCCTCAATGATATCCGTGTTAATAATAATATCTCTCAATACTTGATTTCTTGCTATTGAAATAAGGCAATCTACAGCATCAACTAAAATTTCAACTGGAACTTTTCCTATTGTTTTCATCAGCCACAACAAATAATTCTAAAGGTAATATTTTTAAGATATCTTTTGTTAAAGAATAATTGCTCGATGGATAATTAGACAAATCGTGTTACCTGTCCTTGAATACTTAAGAAATCTTCACAATTCTTTATATCACATTTCATTAATTGATTTAAAGCAAATAAAGCTGCTTGTCTAGCAGACCAGTTCAAATTATCATTTTTCAGCACATCTGAAATGACATTGCTAAATCATTACATGATTTTAAAAAGATCCATCGAATCTACCTAGAATGTTTTTCACGCAATTGCTTGTAGTTAAATCTTTAGCTGCTCGACTGTATAGAGCCATCATACCGATACCGTGACAACTAATTTCGTACATTTCTTGCACGTTACCAAATAACGTATGTAACAAATAATCGACGATACCATACATGTGCAGCATCTATCAAATAAGAAAAAAAATCTATAATTTATATTAAGTTAAATAACCATTGAAAATCATAACTTTTTATGGAAAAAAATTACAATAAAAATTGTATAAAAGAAGAATATTAGAATTAATAATAGAAATATAAATAATTATTAAAATTCAATTAAATCTAATAAATTCATTAGATTATATGCATTACTTTTCTACCCCTAGATGTATGCGATAAACAAACAGCTATATCCAGAATTTGTTTGAAAAGTTTCGAATGTAACGTATCTTCTATATATTTTAATATCTGTTTGATACCACCAATATCATTGAATTGTTCGACTGTCGTGGGATTGTCACAGGCGAATCGAAGGATCCAAAGCGCATTCGTATGAAGATCTAACCACTCAATGTTCTAAATTAATATATAGAAATATATATTTTTATAAATAATATTAATAGAAAAATTCTTTTCTCATTGTAAGAATATTTTTTATCCAAAATTTTTACATCCAAAAATTTCAATAAAGCCTCAAGACCCTTAGTACGTCGAAAGTGTTCTTGCAACCGTTCATCCTGATTTCTGCGTACTAGATCAGTTATTACATCAAGTGCGAGCTTTTGGATTTCACCATAAGGTGAATTAAAAAGCTCATAGACCTGTTCCAAATTAAAATCCTGAAAATTGCACATTATCTCAAATAGCAATCACAAATGCAGAAAAAATTTAACAAAATATATCGTTTAACTTTTCATCCTAATGAACCTTAGTTTCAATGATTTTCTCTGCGCCTAAAGGGTCTTGCAATAGATTATATATAATTTGTAATGTATTCTTCTTCACGTCAGGATCCGGTGAGTAAAGTTTTTCGAACAGAAAATCTACATCTGAACTTTGTTTTAATAATTGTGCTACTCCAAATATGTCTTTAGTTATTTCTGCTAAAATTAACAATGAAAATTCGTGCAGGAAGATATCATTTTCATGGATTACAACCTTGATAAAATATGGGATATAATATTCGGATGATTCCAAGATGAAATTACGAACATTAGGAATAGCTATCATTTCGGCTAACAATTTTGCGGCAAATCTATATTTTATTACATAAATTTATATGTATATATATATATATGAATAATTTTTATTAAAATATTAAAATAAACCTTCGAGTAAATAAATCCTCGTGTTTAATCAATGGAATTATATTATTCACAATTTCGAGATCGAATAAAACTTCTAAATTTTCCTGAGATTTACTGCCAAATTTTGACAAAGCTGCTGCAGCAGCTAACAAAATAGGTTTCTCTTCACATTGTAGTAATAATATCGCTGTTTCAAGATGTTTGACTTCTAAATAAAGAGGATCAAATTGATTTTTCGTTTGTTGTTCACGATCCACTCGTTCTTTGCCCTTGGACACATATTTCTACACACAAATTTTCAATACTTATAAATATTTATAAAAAATTTATTTTAATTTATGTTACAGAAAAAGAAATACAAATATTTTTTATTATTTAAATCTTACTTTTGGTTCGTTTACACGTTTTGGTCCCATGTTTTTTTATCTTTCATTAAACATTAGAATATTATTTATGGTTATCATGATTTGTAAAATTATATAATAGACATTTTTAATATCTGAAGAATAAAATGTATGACATGAATGTTGCTGCATTTTAACTTTAATTATTAAAAACTCGAATATTGCTTATATTTGAAAAAAATTTTAGTCTAACTATATGCTTTGATATTTTTAAAAATAATATGCAATTAAATACTTTTTAATTTAAATGCGATCATAATTGTACATATTAATAACATTTCTCATAGAAAATAAAAATCTTATAGATTAAAACATATATAAATATATCTTCATATATATATATATATATCAACGTATATCTCTATAATTGGATATAATAGAATATGTTAAAAGTTTTATATTGGAATTTGATGGCAGTAATGATGAGATCGATTTAAAAAATTACATGTAACTTCTAGTAATACTATAAACATGTATAAGAGTGTACATATAAATATACATATATATATATTATTAATATGTATTATACTTATCACTTTTGTAATAAAAAAAACAAAATATTATATTTTACTTTTTAAACTTATACAATTATTAAATTTGTCTTGATCTAATTATATTAATATTTATTATTACATAATACATATTATTGTGTGACATATGCATTCTATAATTTCATATCTATTATGATATATATATATATATTCTTTTGAATTAAATTATCTTTCAACAACAATAAGGCCTAACAAAAAGTAATATTTTATAATGATAAAAATGAACATAAAAAAGTACAAAATATAACTACTAATATATACAGTGTTATATTAATATATTAATATTATTATGGACGGATGAAATATTTAGCAAAGTCTTATAACATTATCTTAAATCATTAATATGATAATCTTTCAAGTTTTCTATGTACAAAGTGTTTTTTAATATTTCATAAATGGTAATACTAAAAAACATTTTGTATATATATGAACACATACTGTTTTTAATTTTTTATCTGAATATAGTTTTTTTTAGAAAAATAAATAAGACAGCTGTAATAAAAAATATATTATACAGCTGTTTGCGGAATACCTTGAACTAAATGTGTCTTGCTTTTACTTTTGGGTAACGAAGACTGACTCATAGCTTTGCTTAATTTAGGTTGTCCATTTGGTGAACTGGTAACAAATCCTTCCGAACGCATATCTTTCAATGAAGTATTAGAGTTACTTCTTAGCGATGGAGTCGAACTAAATTTTCGATTATGTGCTAATCGTTCTTGAAGCTTTATTTCATTTTGTCGCGGTATTCTAGATTTGATTGGTGGCATATCACGATATTCATGAATATTTTCCTTTGAAGTACGAGTTATATTCTCGATTCCCTCCGAAGGTTCATCGTCTCGTACCATCAGGATGTCTCCGCTATAGTAGTGGTCAGATTGTCTAAGCACAAGAAAAAATACAAAAAAAATATTGTAAAAAAATATAATTCAAATATGATTATTTACTAATTCCAATGTAAATGAAATGTAAAAAAATAAATTAAATTAATAATAAAACCAAAATGAAAAATTCTTTAATTCATAACTAATTCATAACAATTCTTTAATCTATAACTAATTAATCTATCTTATTTAATACAAGAGCTTTCAATATTTAAAGCTGTGCAATGAAATATAAAAAATTTATGCATTACCTGCATATAATCTGGCAGCCTTTGTCTTGCTGCATGAATTATAAGCAAAGATAGAAATGTATATATGTTATGTTAATTTTCAATCTTCAATATTATTTTTTATAATAAATATTTATTTTTTTATTAAATCAGAACCATCACCCATCATGCATTATTAAAATAAAAATACTATCATGGGGTTGGTTCTGTTTACCTTTTCTTACCTTTTGGCATTGCGCCAAAGCATACAACATACTACGGAAAGCACGATTAATAACAGGCAAGCAGTGGAAACTGACCAAAAGGCAATTTGCAATGGTTGTTTTGGTTCCCACCAATACTGTAATAATAAAAATAATAAAATAAAAAATAAACAAAAGAAATTTCTAGATTTTTAAGAATTTCCTAAATTTATATATAAAAAAGAATATATATAATATTCTTACTTCAGTAACTGGAGGATATGTAGGTACTAAACGACCGATAACAGTTGGTAAATATATAGACCAGAAAGCACTTTCAGTTTGTCTATAGTTCAATAAAATTGAACTATTGAAAGTAGTATTGATATTTAAATATCGTAATTGACCGGGCTTAGCAACATCAAAGTGTAATCCTAAAATTTGCGATGGTGTTGGATTTCTAAAATCCAACGAAGTAAAAGAAATATTCATTTAAGAATATTTATATATATTTAAGAATATATGTAATAATTAAAAATAACTTAACTTTATATTATTTAAAAACTTACCCATACTTTGCAAAATTTGAGTATGTCTGCATAAAAAAATGACTCATATTCCGATCATTGTCTGTCCACATATCTCTCTTTAAATTCCACTTCTGAGGGAAAAATTCTAAATAATATAATAATTTTGTTATTATATTATTTTTAACGAAAAGTTTTAAATTATTGCAAACTTACCAATATCCATAAACGGTGCTCCTGTTAACCAAAGAAGTTCAATATCGTGAGGAACGCTTCGCCACTGTGGTAATTTTAATGCTTCCACTGTTGTATTTAATACATATAAATACGTAGGTACATGTTTTTCTATTAACAATTTCGCCATTTTATCAAATGGAGCAACATAATGAAAGTCAGATAAAAGCTGAAAATGCAACATTATATAAATATATAATTATAAAAGTCAAAGTATATATATATATATATTTTGAATTTACATTAATATATTGATCACGAATATGTGTAATATTTTTTGGATCTGGCCAATATGTATACATGTATTTTATAGCTTCATATACTCCTTGAGAATTTAAAGTATAATTATATTGAAGAACAAGTTCCCAGATTTTTTGTTCGAATAATTCTACATCTATAATATATTGATTTCTGGCCAATGTGACATTGTTATCTGCAATAAATTAAATATTTCTTAATTTATAAATATATAAAATTATAAAAATTTAAAAGAACATACATATAAGATATGCTGCTTCTTGAGTAGTTACACCAGCCATATATGCTAAATTATTTCTAAACCTATGATTCTTTATACTTTCTTCAGGTGTTTCCATAAAAAAACGCCAATCTGATGCTCTCCAATCTTCATACCAATTATCAGGTATTGTGAAATTGATATCCAATACTGGTGCCCATGGAAACATTCCAATATGTGGCTTCAATTCAGAATTACCCAATTCAAAAAAAGATCTACCATTTTTCAAGCATTGTACCAATTTCCAACTGCTTTCTATGCTACAGCCTAACATTTCTGCATATACTCTGGATGTATTTTGTGCTCTGTATTTATCTATTATAACTCCCCAGTCTGCTAATGCAGAACCTGATTGAGCTATTACTTTTGATACCATTTCTCTAGTTTTGGGTGCAATCATTAATAACCCTGCACTTACAGCTCCAGCACCAGGTCCAAAAAGAGTTATTGCATCAGGATTACCATTAAAAGCTTTGATATTATCATATACCCATCTCAATGCCATAGCTTGATCCAAAATTCCATAATTTCCAGGACTATTTTCATCTCCTGTACTTAAAAATCCTAAAACTCCCAATCGATAGTTAATAGAAACAACTACTACATTATAAAATGCAGCTAACATATGAGCTGGAAATAAATTGCTAGCTCCATGAGAAAATTCTCCACCATGAATATAGAACATCACTGCATATGGCTGAGCTAAACCAGAATCAATTGATGGAGTAAAAATATTCAAATACAAACAATCTTCATCTACATCTCGGATTCCTTTAGTAGCACCAGTATATGCACTAGGCTGAGGACAAGCTGGTCCCCAATCCACAGCTTGTAATAGTTGCCAACCTTTATGAGGTCTAGGTGGTTTAAAACGTCCTTCCTTTGTAGGTGGCATAGCATAAGGAATACCAAGGAATACATTAACATGCTTTGTAACTCTTTCAACTGGTAAACTCCAAGGCCTATGTCTTGCTTGAGGACTATCATATAAATAAACTTTAAACCCTTGCACTTGTCCATAATTTGTGCTCACAGTTACATCTCTATGTAGATTTTTAGAGTCAGGTCTCTCTTTTCCTTGAAGATCTTCTCGCCAACCACTTAACACTCCAGGTAAAGGAAATCTTGAAGTTGTGTCCTTTAAAATAACATTTTTAATTATAATCTTATATATTAAAAATAAATAAATATATTAACGTATATTATTGTTCATTATAATACAAAATTAATTATTATTTATTTTATCTTACCTCATAAAGATACCGATTCTCCGGTGCTTTGGTATGTTCTTTGTAAACAACGTCCAAATAACTAGGACGATATCCATACCTTCTGTCTTTGTAAACATAAGTGTCGGTTCGATGATCCGGCCCGTTTAAAGGCACATATACTCCATCACGACTGTAATACCGACTACCCGGGGATATTTGTTCATGACAGATTACCGTAATTGTGAAGAGACAAAGATAAAAACAGACGCGTCCAATCGACGAGTATGGAGTACTTGCAGCCATCTTGCCCGCGTGCGAGTTGGTTTTTCACACAAACAAACAAATGTATATATACGATGTGTATACATGCATAATACTTCTTTAGACATATAGTAAAACGAGAAACTCGGTCTTCCAAGAAACTCTCAATGAAGTAAGAAAAAGGGAAAGCTATTATGAAAGTAAAATCTTACTAGTAGTTATATTCTTATTAAAAATATATACAGAAAAGAGAAATCATTATAGAAATAACTGAAACATATTTCTTTTCTTTTTAAAAAAAGAAAAGGGTAAACGTTCGATTTTTGTACACGTGCGCTTACGAAATCAATGGATTGACACACGCGTAGGCCAACACCCTGTAACTGTCACGTTTTAAAACTATTATTTTTTAATTAAAATTAGCAAACATTTAAATCTAATTTATATGTATATGCTATAATAAGTTATAATTCACATTTAAAATATTATTTTTTATAAATTTATATTACATCATAAATATTTTTGTTTTGAATATTATGTATCATCGAATGATAACTATTTGATATTGCTACGAATAAAAAGAATGAACGAAGAATTATAAAACAGCCAAATTGTTCAAAATAAATTCACTTATAAAACTGATTCACAATTGCATCATAACAAATATGAAGTTTCGAAAATTATTTACGATAGATATATTACTAGGACTAACGTTCAAAACGTACTGAATGGTAATATTACTCTTGCGTGCAAATACACGCTGCGAAGACCATCTATCCACTAATAAATACTTGTCATATACTAAAGCGATACAGCCAGAGTAGTGATTCAAAAATTTCTATAATCATCTAAGTATGCCATCGCATGAACGGGATTTATACTTTTATATATGATCTGTTCACAGACTCTTATCTAGCGATTTTATCTGAAATAGATTACATCAGTGATACTCATTATGAACAATACTTTCAACAAATACAAATCGTTTAATGAACTTATCAAAAAATTTCTCTTGATATTTAAATCAAATCTTTTATTTTTTTTGTAAATTTTAATGATTTTTAAAAGTAAAATAAAAAATCAGATTATCATTATACCATTGAAACTGATGATATATCATGAAGTATGAATAATGCGATAATCAATGATTTCACTGTTTTTATCAATAAAAAATCTTTCCATTATGATAATCTTGTACCATTTTTTTATTTTCTTTTAAAAAACCGACTGATGATAATAATATGAAAATTTTGCATTTAGAAATATATATTATTCGAAATATATATTTTTCTACCATCAAAGTTGTAACAAAGTAAAAGTCTTTTCTGTTGCTTTCTATGCTTCCCCTTCAGCGAATTCTCCAATTTACAGCAATTGCTGGATTTATTATCCATTCCCCAGTCAACTTTACTCACACGCTTGTACAGTCTCAGTAAAAAACTGGACTGGCTTAATCACTTTTATCCGTTCTCAGCTATCCTCTTGCAATCGTCACGCTTGACACGACGGGGTTGACTTCTGAAAACAAAAGTGAATATAAAAGTAGCAGTTATTGTACAATAAAAAATTTTTTAAATATAATATATATTTTTTTAAAATAATTATTTATAATAATAAATTATTTCTTGATTATAAAAAGATCTGTTTTTGAAATTGATAATTTAGATTAGAGATTACGCATATGATGTTTAATTTTAATAAGAAGATATAAATATGATTTGAAGACGATTAGTCTTTTATATATTGTAAAATGTTCAAATTTAAATAGTTTATAATGAATACATTTATTATTCATAACATTCAGATACTAATTCAGCATCTATCCTAATTCAGCATTTAAATAGACTTTATTATAATTGTTGTTTGCATCCTCTTGTGCGTATATTTTCTTTTTGTTTTTATATTAAAATTGTTGATATTAAAATGAAGTCATGGGAATAGGACATTTCTTGATAAATATAATTATTTTGTCCAATTTAAAAAAATCAAAAAATCTAAAAAAATTTTGGAATACTTATTAACATATCTGCTTTATTATATAATTTATTTCAATAAAAATAAACTTCCTTTCTAAAGAATGATAATGAAAGATACAATTTTGTGTGAATTAAAATTGCAAAATTAACAAATTCCATTATAAATTTAAAATGTATTTTCAAAAATATATTTTTCGCAAAAAAAAAAAAAATATATCAAAAGAAAAGACAAAATAATTCAAAATTATCAAATAACATATTCTAATATTAACTATTAATTTCCAATAGAATGTAATCCATATAAGATACTATAATATTAATTATACGTTAATCATTTTCTTTCTTAACATTTCACTTTCGTCTAAGATATTCTTCTCAGAAAATTTTACTTTTTTTAGGATATACAATTTGCGCGTAGTGACCAGCAGATTTCCTTGAGTTTTAAGAACAGATGCACCGGTGGTGGTCGAAGGGTGGGGGCGGTGCGATGGTGGAGGCACTCGCACAGTCCGGGGCCCACTTGTTCGACGATCGTCTTGTCACTCGAAAGTGCGTTACCATTCTGGCAACATTGGTTTCATGTGTCTATTTCTTGTCCAATCTTGTGCTCTTTCATTGTGTCAATATTTTACAATTCATCTATGAACTACTCAAATCTTATTCTATCCCTTATTATTGTGTGGAAGTGTGAACTTTGTGATATTGGACATTTAAGTGCATTCTAAATATAATATAATAAAAAGAATGCTTTAAAAAAATTATAAAAAATAGAATAGATTCTTTCTTCTTTTATCAATTTATTATATATTAAGAAAAAAAAATGCCTACGGAAACGTTTTCAAAAGAGCTAGATGCTCATATTGTGACTTTACTTACGAGGATCTCTTCGTTGAAGGAAAATAATACAGAACTCTTGGAGAAGAAAGCGCCTATGTCTATAGAAGCTCGCAGCTTAGAACTTTGGAGAGCAGTGGCTGTCGAGTGTTTCGCTACTTTTCTTTTCAGTCTTATCGTATCTGGCGCAGCTGCGTCTTCCGCGGTTTCTGGAAGCGGACTCTCCGTCTTAGCCACTGCTATAGCATCCGGCTTTGCAATTTCGGCAATCTGCTTCATCTTTGGTCATATCAGTGGTAAGTTTCACAATTTGAATAATGCTTTCATAATTTTCAAAGTAATCCCACCAAATTTTTAATATTTTTAATAACATACATTTTTGATTGTGATGTTATGTTATAAAGTATTTCATATTTTTTATATTTATTAATTGCGTTTTAGACAAATAATTAAAAATATTATGTTTTTGAAATAATTTCTTGATATATAGAAGTATTTTATATTAATTGTGAAAATTTTATACTTATGCACACTATCGTATCGTTTATATTCGCTCTTTACGATTCCATCTCTCTCGATTGACTCATTAACCAATTATAACTAATGGAAATACACTATGCATATAGTAGAGCATGTGCGAGAGCGTGTCCTAGATGGCACATGTATATATATTTCATGTATCATCTTATATAGATACTTGTTTCCTTGTTTTTTAAATAAAAATCCAGATAAATATTTTTTTCAGAATAAAATATAATTTTGTTCGTTTGTATAATTTAGCAAAAATTTCTTCAATTTTGCAAAGATTTTTTTTTAATTGTATTATTCTAAATATTGATTTTGTCTATTTGAATAGACAATATCTTCCACTTTTTAATGCTTTAATAGTAACTGATATGCAAATAGCATGAGTTGAGTGTAAAATATTAATTTATCGCATGCGAATAAAATTGATTTGAAAATTGATTTTTTATAAAATATCCTTCTGGACTTCACTCTTTAAAATTCTCACATATCCATATATGAGGGTTCTATATTTCTAATTCATAAATATTTGTAATTTTTAACACTTATTTGGAATAGTAAAACATATAATTCTAATTTTTATAAATATAAATATAGAAAATATAAAATAAATAATAACATAAAGTGATATTCAATTTTGTTTTGTATAGTATAAAATTGTAATAAAACTTGTAATAAAATGGTACAGGTAGTCATGTGAATCCAGCTGTCTCAGTATCTTTCGCTTTGTGTCGACGAATCTCTCTCCTACGAGCTGCTCTCTACATTGCTGCACAGTGTGGAGGTGGTATAGCCGGTGCTGCAATGTTGTATGGGTGAGTGATCATTTAAACATTAGATAATTATCATCTAATGTATATTATAATAATTAGATAATTATTATTATAAAATCCATGAAGTATCCATATCAAATTAAATTCTTTTATTTTTATATAATAAGTATAATTTTAACACTTCGAATGCAAAGGATTTAACACGATAAATTTCCAAACCAAAAAAACTTTGTTAAGTGTTCATACACATGGAAAAGCACGACATAGAAAAAAAACGAGATACGAAGAGCAGCTGTTAGATAGCTGGAATCCGAGAAGGCTGCATGATCAAATCCCTAAAGTTTTTCTGTTCCTTTGAAGTGTTTTAAAAAGTTCTGAAGTCAATAATATTATCGTCATTAAATTCTTATATGAAAATGAATGCGTTCATTTTTATAATTATTACTAAAATTTAATTAACTGAAATACAGAGGACGTATTATAAAGTGTTTTCGAAAATCCATTTTAAATAATGCAGATTTTTGTAAAGATGAATTTAAAATAATGAAAATTTGTAATAAAAAACATAATAAAAATAAAAAAAAATAAATGACATAATAAAAAAAATAATTTTTTAAGAATGCATTATTTATAAGGCAATTTTTTTCTTTTAAGAATTAAATTTGGTTATGTTACTTTCGTGTCACGTTATAAAGTGTTTCAAGTTATCTTACATACCCTCTAGCTACGATTGTAAGAACTATTGTTCGATACTTTAAAGTACATATACTTATAGATCGATATTATATATTTATCGATATTTATTATTATTATTATTATTATTAAAAGATCTCTATTATTAATTCTATAGATAATCTATAATAATTTGTTGGGGCAGCGAATTTCTGTAGGCAGACGGTGATCAGGAGCGCGTGAGCATGCTGTTTTTTTTCTCTTCGGTCGAAAAGAGAGATCGCCCGCGTGCAACTCGGTGCACGTGCCTCAATTTTGTCCGTCGTTAAAGAATCTGGCTAGAGGGCAAAAAAAATTGAAGGGAGAAAATTTTTTTATGTTTTATTCTTATATTCTATATATTTTTATATCTTGTATATATCGTTTTTTTTTTTCTATTAGTGGAGAAAAAGAAAACGAAGGATATCAAACTCATATTTGATTCCGAATTTATCATCCTTGTAAAAGAAATAACATAAAACATAACATGTTTCTTTATAAAATAAAGCAAATCAATTAATGAATCATTAATACTAAATTCTTACAAGATTATTATAAGAAACTTGTTTATTTTTACCATAATATTTATTTATGATTCATGATTCGTAAAAAGATTTGAAAACGGGAAAATGAAGAGTAACGAGGAAAGTGAGAGAGGCAGAAAGAGGCACGCGTAATTGGCAGAGTTAGGGGGAGAAACTTCTTCGAAGGTGAGCACCTGCCTCGTTCCGTGTATGCTGCGGCAGGCCACCGTCTTGCAGCTGCCGCAGATGTTCCATGGACCGAAAAAGATCGCGCGGAAAAAGGATCGAGCAGGCACCAGAGACGAAGATAATGAATACCTATGCGTGGTGAGGTGGGACAAGTTTCACGACGCGATCGCCTCTTATTGAAGGAGGACATGCTACGATCTGGGCCCACAGAGCAGATGTTCTCTCCGTTTCTGAGGATCATTGTCCTCCATTTTTCCTTCTATCTTCTTCTTTACTTTCTTTTTTCTTCTTCCCTCTTCTTCTTCCTGTCATTTCTTATTTCTTGTTGCATGCTTGGAATTATTTTCGAAATATATATATAAAAGGAATTCTAAGAAAGAAATACTAAATAAGTGTAAATGTAATCGTATCGTAATGTTACGATATATAGAGGATTATTCAACCTGTAACACAGCGTTACAGGTTAGTACATACATGTGGAAATGTAGAGATTTGTAGATATGCTTGCTTTTATGGTAATAATTGTAAAATATAAGAATGTACAAGACATGAACATTCATTAATCTTAACATTATTATTATTATTATTATCCATCTATTGATGTTTATATATATTAAAAATATTTCAATATTTTCCCTTTATGTATTCATTAAATAATATATCCTGTAAAAGATAATTAATAATTATAAATATAATATAAATAATATAATATAAATAATTATAATATAAAATAATAAAAATATAATATAAATAATTATAAATTAATTATCAAATCTTGAAAATTAAAATAATATAAAGTTAAATCTTGTTTTTTTAAATAATTTCTTCCTATTAATTAAATATATTAAATTATATTTTTCTTAAATGCAATATGGAATTATATAAGTGACCATAGACATCCCTAACAGTTCGATGCAACGACAGATCCGTCATCGACAGCACGATCACCCTTGGACCACCATATGACCGCACAAAGAGATAACAAGTGCACGATATGTACCGAAATAATAATCGAACAATACTCTAGTTAACCGATCGGGTTCGTCATCCCTTCCAGAAATATCTCCAGGGAGTGCATACACCCCAATGGGAAAAAAGAGAATCAGAGAGGGAAAAAGACATGGCCAAGGGAGAGATGAGGAAAGAAATAACACATATTCTTGCATCTGTTGCGACTGGGTCACTCGATGGTGTGTGTCTGGCGTTTGTAAAACACATATCCTTACGTTTTGTCGAGGGATGGTCGTAGCTCCCACTGCGATACTTCCCTGGAATATAAATAAAAAAAAGAAATGGAGAGACAGCCAAGCAGAGATAGATCGTAAACTGAATTGACATGAGCTAAGAGATTATTACGAGAATCGCGAGATCTAACTATCCGGAAAGGATTTAGTATCGACACATTACAAGAATTTCCCATTATCTTTTTATCTAATTTTTCAATGGCAGAAGAAGAATACAAAATAGATTATAATATATTGCCATAGAAGAAGACTAACTACTATGCCTTTTTTCACATTTTCCAATTACAAATCTCAAATTGACAATTTAATTCAAGTTGACAATGTAATTAATTATTTAAATTTTACATATACAGTTGTTATAAAAAATCTACATTTTTTATTCATGTAACAAAAGGGAATAGTTATGTCGATACAGAGATTGAATTGAAGGAACAGTTTGAAAACAGATATTAAAAATGGTGATATAAAACTATTTGTCAAGGGTGTTTACCACCACGGATTGGAGAACAGCTGTGAGGAAGCAGGTGTGTGTTGTGACGTCAAATAAGACACACGCAGTGCGCGTGGTGAACCGGATGTCCAGCAAAGAAACAGTCTCATCATGCATTTCCTGTTCTTCAAAATTATCTATGATACAGTATATATCTATGATAGTCAAGTTCCGTTTTTAGAATCTAGAACAATTGATTTCTTGTACGATTGCATGCAAAACTATTATTTTTGAATTTTAAAACTCTCTCTCTCTCTCTCTCTCTCTCTCTCTCTCTCTCTCTCTCTCTCTCTCTCTTTCTGAAAGTGTAATTGATTTTATTAATATTAATCTTTATAGAAATACGATCTTTATAGTGAAACGAAGTAAAGGAATAAATGGATTAAATGCTTACTTCAAAAAAAAAAAAATGAAGAGCAGTATCACTTGTCGGAAGAAGATATTTTAGAAAGAGCACTTTATAGCGATATGTAATATCCAAGCCTCTTCTCGAAAGCCGTCGATATTAGGTTCTTAAGCTGCAATTTTGACGACTTTCTTCAATACTCTCAGTCAACTTAGGATCCTCCTCGGATTTTCTTTCGAGGATAATTCGTCGATCAATCAAATATGTACGCTCTTAGCTTTCGAATATATTGTTCTTCCAAGAATCTCAATCTTCAGATTAAAATATTGCAAATAATGAAATTCACATATTTTCCATATCTTTAGACAATTAATTACAAAAATTTAATCATGAAAAAAATTACTTTCAGAGTACTTTATAGATACGTACATACATAGGAAGGAAGAAACTGTGGTCGAAAATGTAGTGTGAAAGCCAGGTGGATCAGGTAGAATCGCTTCAGTAGGAATGTTTTACCTGCTTGAAACACTTTTTATCGCGGGACACAAAGCGGTCCGCTCAAACGGATCCTCCAGCTTTTACAACTTTGAAATCGTGCCGGTTACTTCTTCTTGAAAACATATCCGTTCTATCGTATCCTGTTGCACGAAAAAAACATCTCTCTCGGTTAGTAAAAATAAATTCTAAAAACGAAAAGAAAAGAAGCGGAGAACATATGGCAGTCTTTCACGTACCTCTTAAAAATTCGTCGCTCATTATTAAGAGCATAAGTCGTTCTTTAAGATAAATATTTAAACGTGTTGCTGGGAAAGTTTACACCTCGTCTTCTTTGTGGTAATTTCACGATGAAAATGATAGAAAGTTGAATTTCTTGATAATAAATTTCTAAAGAGTTTCTTTTGTCTCATTTTCCTATTATATCTGTTCTATTTTCTTTTATTTTGTATTCTCGTCTAATCGATACTTTATTTCCTTTATTAAATAGTTAGTTTAGTAAATAGTTTTTAAAAATCTAAACTATCTTTATGAATTTTTTTTCTTTCTTTCTTTAAAACACATATCTTGCGTTTCATAAATATATTTTATAAATAAAATAAAATTTCAAAAAAAATTGATACTGGCGTGTTAATATTATGGATGCAGGAGAGAAGAACTTGCAAGGTTTCTAAGGATAAGATGGTCGAAGCAGTATGCCAACAGATGGTCACAACCACGTGTTCTCGAGAATCGTCCCGTTCCTTGATCGTAACTTGTTAGATTATATATGCCTGTCAAAAATTATTTCTTCAAGTAATTTACAATATAACATATTGATATAATAAAATAAAGTGTGTATATGTGTGTGTGTATATATAGAATAAAATAATGTATATTATAATTGTATTTGAAATACGATAAAATTCAAATTAAAAATTATAAAGATATTAATTATTACTGAAAATAATAATAAATTAATTGGTTAAATAATATATAAATAATCGTAAAAAATATTTTAAAAAAATTAGAATAAACATTGAAAATTTTCTGAAATGATTCAGAAGATTAGGTTAGATTAGGTTAGATTGATTAAAATTATTGATATTTTATAATATTCCATACACATCCTTTTGAAACATCCGCATATAGAAAATTCAACATCTTTGAAGAGATTCAGTCGGAAAACATCTGCCGATGTTTCATATCCTTCGTCCGAAAGAGAATCATTTATAGGCTTCTAAAATTCCTTTGTAACTGCGACTTTACGCTTCGGATATTCGAAAGGATCACTGAAGGATTCGTTTTGTGCAACATGTGGCTGGCACGTGTTCCTCCATAGAAAGCCACAGCCCACGATTTATATAGGATTCTATAGAAGGATCCACAACTTCTTCGAGGCCAACTGCCATATAGTCTCTTTTCTCCTTGCATTCTAATAAATCAATAAGATTCTTTTACAACTTATAATTTGTGAAGGCATGACTCGATACGGTATACTCAATTGTATATAAGACAAATTTCTTCCATTGTTAACCTCTTTCGTTTTATATGTTCTTTGTGTGCATCTATATACATATATATATTTATTATGTATATATATACATATATTTACATTTATAATACATATATTTAATTTTAGTTTTATTGTAAAATAAGAAAGAAGCGAGAAGAAGAAGAAAACAAAAAAATAAAAAATAAGAACAATTGGTATGGTTGTTTCACAACAGAACCGGATTCTTGTGGGTGTACACACTTCCTGGCCCCTTTTTTCATACGTTTCTTATTCACGGCAAGGGGGATAGAACTCCAACCTTGCGCATTGGTCTTTCAAAGAATTCCTGTGCTTTGTCCTCTTGAATTTGTATTATCGAAGGAAACTGAACTGTTCCCGAGGAAAATGCTTGAAATTAATTCAAAAAAATCGCAAAAAGAATGAACAATTTTATCTAACAATTGTTTAAATTTTAAAACTCTATATAATTCTATCAAGCTGATGCAACATTCGATGTAACAATATATTCCACAAGGAAAGAATGATCATCTTGTAAAACTTCCCACAACTCGCCCTCGGTGATCAGTGATTCGTCATGAACCTAATTTTCTGGTTTAACCGCAATTATCCGAGCATCTGAACTTTCCCATAGGGCAAAACTTTAGAATGGAATCGCTATAGGTTTCACCGCGCCTTTAACACACACATCGCATACATATGGTGATTTCCTTGGTTGAAAAAGGGAGCTCTGGAAAAGGGGATGTAGTAATGATTACCGTGGCAAGCTCATACATGTATACGCCCATACCAATCTACTTATACAGTGGTACTACCCAGTGAGTGGAAGATATCAATAGCTCGTTAAACACGACAGAGGTCTAATGAAAGTGATACACACACACACACACACACACTCCCCTTTCTGGCTTCGAATTGAAATTTATTTTAAACGTTGTGCCGGCCGCCCTGGACCCTTGGGGGTGTTTTTGGAGTTCGGTTACCCCTGTATATAGGCACAGGTTGCACATGATCTCTTGAATCAAGTGCACCCCGGATTAAACTATGAGGTGGGTCTCGGCTGAGTGACCGTAACTTTTCGAGCGGAAAACGTGAGAAAACGGACGCCAGTCGATTCGCTTGTGAAACTTTTTTCTCAGAAAAAAATATAGTATAACGTTGAGTCGAAAAAAATGGCGCGAAGTTTGTTTCACTTTTTATATATATGGATCTCTGGAAACAGAAGAAATTTTAGATTCAGCAATTGTAAGGAACGATGATAGGAATGATAAGAGAGATATTTATAAAAAAGAAAAGATTTTTTCGAGTTGTAAATATATAACTAAAGTTCAAGTAAAATTACATATTCATTTTTAAACTATATCTATATTTCTGTATTTATTGCTTTTTTGTTGCAAAAAAATGTTTAACGTAGAGAAAATGCAAGCTAGTTCATAAACAATGAAGAATGGGTGTAAAGAGTGTTCTCTTTCTGGCTGATGGAAAAAAATGGGTCCCTTTTAAAAGACTGAAACCTTTTTCAGCCTCTTTAGATGCATTTTAACCATTGACGTATCTTTTAAAAAATATTATATATGTATTGTATTAAATACTATTTTGAAAAAAAATATGAATAATATAAAATAACATAAATATTAAAAAGTATGTAAAATTTAATATATAAATAATGTTTAATATTTATCAGGTATAAAAAGAAGGAAAGACGATAATAACAATCTTTATATATAATATAAAAAATTATCATGACAATCATCTGATTATTACTCATATAGGGAAAGATAAAAAAAAATCGAACAAAAATTTAGAAAATTTCATAAAACAAATGTATTTTTTCTTGTTTCCATCCTATAGTTGTACATGTATACATTTAATCTCAATTGTGCGATCATGATCTGCATTTCTGATTTCATCAATTCGCTTTCTCCTCATGACACGATTATAAGGCCTCTCGAGATAGAGAAGGCGAATAAGAGGGGAGCTTTCATTTGCATCACTCTTCGGATAGATGGGGGAAAATTTTTTTCCCCGATGCACGTGACAATAAGTTTCAAAGGAGATGGGCATTCCAAATATTTAATGGTGAAAATCATTTTCCCTTGATACGATATACACATATGCATCTCGTATTAATTCTTTTTATTAATTTTGATTCAATTAATCTACAAAAATTAAGATGATGAAAGATAAAATTGATCTTTATTATTCCAAAACAAATAGGATATATTGAAAAATTTTTAAAGAATTTAATATTTAAAAAATTTTTAATAGAATTAATTATTTAAAAATTTTATCGTATATTCATGCGATTATACAAATCTATAAAATTATTAATCTTTATGCAAAAAAAAAAACATCACAATATATATATATATATAAAAGCGATGGATGAATTGAACGATGCATCAGCTAATATAAACATTACACCACAGAGACTGACTTGCTGCCAAAGGGCTTTTATGCTTGGTTATATTGCTTGTTATAGTAACTTTTAATAAAAAAATCATTGTACATTACACCATAACGAGCCATATGTGTAAATTGTTTTGCAATATTGATAATTTTTTTAATTTTTGTTGAAAAATCATTCCTCTCGTGTTATATTTTTAAAAATCTGTAGATTTATCGAGTTTTAATTAAAAACTAAATAAGTAACGATTGATTTTATTATTACAGAGTAACCACGCCTTCGAACACGCAAACCTTAACTTCCCTAGGTCGTCTCGGGGGACCTATTGAGAGGCTTCTTGTAGAATTAACGCTTTCGGTGTTGATAGTTCTGGCCCATTTCACATCAGAATCCTCAAAAACTTTACCAATGTTAATCTCTTCAAAACCAGCCGGTGTATTAGCCGCGGCTTACACGGCGGCTACTTTAGTTTCAGTGAGTATACATATATATTTTTTTCTACAAAATAACAAAACAAATTTCTTAACGTTGAAATAAAAATATGAAAAACGGTGTATATACATGTTCACACACACACACATACACACACACACACAAAATTCGTATTCCTCTTTGCAATCGGTCTATTCAAAGCGATTCTCAATTTCTTTCGAATTCTCGTCCGCGTCCGCGTCTTTAAACAGCACCTGTGGGTTAGCAGGAGGGGGAGGGGAGAGGGGAGATGTTGAGTAAGAAGGACAGAGAGAGAGAGAGAGAGAGAGAGAGAAAGAGAAAGAGAGAAAGAAAAAAAGAAGAATTCGATCCGTCGGTCCCACCTGCTTTGTAAGCCTACATGTACAATGCTTTCCAAAGAAAACAATTCACGTGTACCAATGCATAAAAGCAAGAATTAAGAAAGTTTGGTTTTTTTTAATTTTCGAATATTTTTATCATGCATGTGTATGTAATCTGAGAATACAAAATAAGATATAACAATCGAATGAATATAGGGGACAGGTTAAAAGGAGAAATTAATGAATTTCAATATGATGTTTCAGAGTCCGTTTTTAAATCCCGCTCGAGCACTCGGGCCAGCGTTTGTAAGCAACCGTTGGGACAACCATTGGGTTTATTGGGTAGGCCCATTATCCGGAAGTGCAATAGCAGCTCTCCTTCACGAATACGTTCTAAATTCGAAACAATCGAGGGATCCACGAGATATAGATGATGGCGACAATTCGTCGATGAGATCTGACGAGGATACTTACGACGATTTGGACAAACCGTCTGGTCCCAAATTCTCCAGCGCGTATGCAACCTATCGTCCAGTTGCTGGAGCATCCTCATCGATCTACAGTGCACCCCCTACTGCCTTGGAACGCGTCGAATCCATTTATGGTGGGACGAAATCGCTCTATTGTAAATCACCTCCCTTGACCAGAGCGAATCTGAATCGTTCGCAAAGTGTGTACGCCAAATCGAGTTCCGGGACGCGGGACGGCTTGATGATCCCTAAACCGGGCCCATTGGTCCCGGCACAAAGCCTGTATCCAATTAGAATAGGTCAAACCGGTTCGAGCTCGGGCAGGGAGAGTCAACAGCAAAATGGTCAAAATCAAAATTCTCAAAATCATAATAGCACGAATCAGAACATGCAAAATCAGTTGCAACAATGCACGCAAAGTATTTATGGGATCAGGGGGATTTCTACAACTCTGAGTACAAGGGAGAATGGTATCTATGGTGTGTCTACAGGATCTAGTATATACGGGAGGGCTCCAGCTCCTCCTCCAAGTAGTCAAAATTCTCAACAATCGGGTTCGAACGTCCAATCTTCCGCTCAAAATCATCATCAGCAACAGCAACAGCAGCAGCAACAACAGCAGAATGGAACATTGTCCACCAACTCGGATAACGCCGTGAATTCTAGAAGACCGGAAAGTATGTACGGGCATGTTTCTAGGCGAAGTGATGATTCTGCGTATGGTAGTTATCAAGGTTCGACGCGAGGGAATTATGGGAAGATACCTGGGCCCCCTGGATCAACGGGACCTTCCAATGGATCAACCGGCGCTCCTCAGTATCGCGAACAAGGAAGACCTAGTCCAGCTGGGCCATTACAACAAAATCAGCAAAATAGTTTCCAAAGAAATTCGCCAAATCCTCAATATTGACTGTAAATTTCATAAATTTGGTGATAATTTTCGTTTAAGATATGAAAGATGGTTAGATTAGACAGTTTAAAGAGAACACGTCTCCTGTACCGACCTTTATGAAGTTCATTAGAAATTAAGAGCAGTCGTTGAATAAAAATGGGGATATGATAAATTTTTGTAGCAACAAAAGGAGATATTGCAGTGCCATTTTATAATTGTTGTTGAAGAATGTAGAGGACAATTGCAGAAAATGCTTAATACTGAAATTGTTCATGTTTCATGGATCTTAGAATAATATTGTAATTATATTCATCGTTTCTTCAAAGTGAAAGTGCAGGATTTAATTGAGATTTCTTAGCAGCAATTTTTAATATACTACTACAATGAATCGAATAAGAAAAAATAATTGTTATCCTGCATTTTATATAAATTTTTTACCTTGCCCTTGGGCATTAATAGATAGATTTTTAAATTAAACTAACTCGATTATCAAATTCGAAAGCAATCAATTTTGATATTTTAATGATTAATTATCAAATAGTTTTTTTGATTAATCGGTAAAATAAACTGATCAAAGTTACAATCAGTATACCGCCACACAAGACTGATTTCACAAATATTTTATATATGACGTTAAAGAATAAAAAATATTTCTTATTCATCGAAGATCAAATTTGAAAATTTATGCAACATTTGTTTTGTATAGTTTATTGTCATCGATTTTCGATCTAATAAAAGAAGAACAATTTTATACTACTTTTATATGCGGTTCGATATTTATTTAATATAATATGCTGTGTATGAATGTATTGTATGTGTGCGCGTAAGCCTATTGTGTGTGAATAAATGTATTAAAATACTGTATTTTAAAAAACTTATTATAAAGTCAGTATAAAAAAAAATATTTACAAATATTATGTAAAGTAATTTAATATAATAGAAAAATGAAAACGAATATTCACCGAAGAATGTAGAAATCGGTAGAATTCAATACAAGTATTTTGTATATATTAAATTTTATATTTATTATTTTTATTGTAGATTATAGAAATGTAGAATTATTGTTATATTCATTTTGTGCATGAAAGTAAGAAAAAACTTGACAATAAACGACTTAAAAAAATGATATTTATTCTCTATTGAATATTGCTCTTTATATTTAAATATCTTATAAAATTATTTTAAAAAACGAATATAATATAATTACGATAAAAATATAAAATATGAAAACGAAACTTGTGTTAGCTTAATTTTAACTTAATTTTATTCTTGTATCTTTTAATTATTTAAAAGAAATATTATTAATTATGAAATAAAATCTATAAAATTAAGTATAAAATATAATTAATCATTTAATACTTTTTAATATTAATACAATTTTTTTTTAATAATAATTTTCTTAATACTAATAATATATTCGATAAATCAATATTTAAATACACGAACGACATCTGTTGACTTAAACTATAATTAATAACGAAATTAAAGAAAAAATAAAGGTCGTAAATAATATTTAATGTACTTTTTCCCGCCACAATCACATACTGAACTGAGTTGTGTCGTCATCTATCGGGATGCGACGAAATCTGCCGCTTATCATACGTTTAACCGATAAAAATTTCGAGAGAAATCGGCACGAAAAATCAAATCGCGAGAAAGGCAATCATCGTTAGTGACTACGAAATCGCTGAAATCCCCAACTTTCAGTCTCGATCTCTCGGGACGTACGTAAAAATCAGCTGATGACGTAACATATAACGAGCGTAAGAAGAAAAGTTAGTCGCATACTCGTGTCGGTGTTGGTGGGCGCGAGACTTGCGCGAGACGAAGTATGGCGTAGGATTCCCTCTGGCCTCTTTCGTTGAGCAGTGTTAAGAGTTCACTCTACTTGGTAGTTTTGTTTGTCTATTATTTCGCTAACGGTAATTACACAAGCGTTTCGTGTGTGTGTCGCGGTATTCTATTGGGAAAAAGTGGTCGTCATCGCTTTTGGAGTCGAAGGTAGATTTATCTTCTTGCAGGGCACGAAAAGGACATCGAGTATCTGTACAGGATGAGCGTCGATGCATATGGACCTAGCAGTCAGACCCTTACGTTTCTCGACACAGAGGAAGCTGATTTAATCGGTGCAGACACGCAGGGTAGCGAATTTGATTTCACCGATTTTACATTACCCTCACCGAGTCAAACTCAAGCTTCGCAACACGATGCTGCCCAAAGTCAACCTAACCAGCCTGTACAGGTTGGTTTTTTAACTCGTCATATGTTCTTCTGAATTTGACCTCTAACCTATATTTTTGTTAATTGACTTTATTGTGTTCCAAGTTTTTGTTTAAATTTGGCTGGTACCTAACCTCATTCAATTTTAGTTTCACCAATTTCTGATATATATCATTTCTATGTCCACGCCTTATCTTGATTTCATGACCTATACATTTTTTTCGTTTTCATGCTATACATAAGAAGTAATTTCTTTATAAATAAAATTTTTATAATGTATAAAATATTGTAAACATAATCTTCTCATATTTAAATTAGTTTTTCTAAACATGATTAATATTTTTTCGATGATTAGAGGTTAGGTGATTTTTGCGATAATTAACGTTTCGTATTGTTATGCAAGATAAGTAATTTGTATCATTTCTGATTTATAATTTTATGAATATGAAAAAAAAAATAATAATATAATATAATATCATTGTAAATGAAAAAAAATATACTTATATAGATGAGATTTAAAAATATATATATATATATATAAAATACAGTATAAACAAAATCCTTGAATATTAAAAAATAAGATATAATATTTGAGATAAATATCTATTAATATGTTTTTATACATTGTTATGATTTTTATCTAGGTTAATGGAACAAGTGGCAGTTCATCTTTAGACTTGAAAATTTCTGGAGCAGCACAAAGTCTTGCAGAATTACAGTTTGAAGAAGAAGAAGAAGAAGCATACTACAATCGTGATTTACCAGAACATGCATGTAAATATTGTGGTATTCATGAAGCATCTTGTGTTGTTATGTGTAATGTCTGCCGCAAATGGTTTTGTAATGGACGTGGAAATACATCTGGTTCTCATATTATTAACCATCTTGTTCGAGCTAAACATAAGGAAGTTACTTTACACAGGTATTATATTTTATTTAGTTTCAGTTATGTAATAATTTTTAATTTTACATTTTAGTTTTACATTAATTTTACATAATTTATTTATATTACAGAGATGGCCCTTTGGGAGAAACTGTTCTGGAATGTTATTCATGTGCTGTTAGGAATGTTTTTGTTCTTGGTTTTATTCCTGCTAAAGCAGATTCTGTTGTTGTATTACTCTGCCGCCAACCATGTGCAGCTCAAAGTTCCTTGAAGGATATGAATTGGTAAACTTATTTTTAATAAAAATTACGAATGTAATGATTTATTATAATTTTTAATATTTTTTTAAATTTTGTAGGGATCAAGAACAATGGAAACCATTGATTGAAGATCGTTCTTTTTTAGCTTGGTTAGTAAAAATCCCATCAGAACAGGAACAATTACGTGCCAGACAAATTTCTGCTCAACAAATCAATAAGTTGGAAGAATTATGGCGGGACAATGTCGATGCGACTTTCCAAGATCTTGAAAAACCTGGAGTAGATGAAGAACCGCAACAAGTACTTCTGCGATATGAAGATGGATACCAATACCAGAATATATTTGGTCCACTCGTAAAATTAGAAGCCGATTATGATAAACGTTTAAAAGAATCTCAAACTCAAGAGAACATCGAAGTACGTTGGGATGTTGGATTAAATAAAAAGACAATCGCCTATTTCATGTTAGCCAAAACAGACGGTGATATGAAGTTAATGCATGGAGATGAACTGAGACTTCGCTATTTGGGTGAACTTCACAAACCTTGGTCTGGAATTGGACACGTGATTAAAATTCCTGATAATTATGGAGAAGAAGTCGGGATTGAATTAAAAAATAATTCTGGCGCTCCGACGGAATGTGTTAGTAATTTCGTCGTTGATTTTATTTGGAAAAGTACAAGTTTTGATCGGTAAGTTATTTATATTTATATTTTATTTTGTAATATTTAAAAATGTTTTTTTTTTAATATATTCTTTTTTTACAATAGCATGCAATTAGCATTGCGGAAATTTGCTGTGGATGATACTTCTGTATCCGGTTACATATATCATAGATTATTAGGACATGAAGTGGAAGAAGTTCTATTTCGCTGCCATCTTCCTAAGCATTTTAGTGCTCCAAATTTGCCAGATTTAAATCGTTCTCAAGTATATGCTGTAAAACATGCTGTACAGAGACCTTTATCTTTGATTCAAGGACCACCTGGAACAGGAAAAACTGTAACTAGCGCTACGATAGTTTATCAACTTGTAAAACAAAACGGTGGTCCCGTTTTGGTATGTGCTCCTTCAAATACAGCTGTGGATCAACTCACAGAAAAAATACATAAATCTAATTTAAAAGTTGTACGACTCTGTGCAAAATCACGAGAAGCAATCGATTCGCCAGTAAGCTTTCTTGCTCTTCATAATCAAATCAAAAATATGGAGACAAATACTGAATTGCAAAAGTTGCAGCAATTAAAAGATGAAACCGGAGAATTATCTAGCGTTGATGAAAAACGTTACAGATTATTGAAAAAAGCAGCAGAAAAAGAATTATTGGAAGCAGCTGATGTAATTTGCTGTACCTGTGTTGGAGCTGGTGATCCTAGATTACACAGGCTCAAGTTTCATTCGATTCTTATTGATGAGAGTATGCAAGCAACTGAACCTGAATGTATGGTGCCAGTTGTTCTTGGAGCAAAACAATTAATTCTCGTCGGTGATCATTGTCAATTAGGACCAGTAGTTATGTGCAAAAAAGCTGCAAGAGCAGGTTTATCACAATCTCTTTTCGAAAGACTAGTTGTACTTGGAATTAGACCTTTCAGATTAGAAGTACAATATCGTATGCATCCAGATCTTTCTCGATTTCCATCAAATTTTTTCTATGAAGGTTCTTTGCAAAATGGTGTATGTGCAGATGAAAGAAAATTGTTGAAAATTGATTTTCCTTGGCCTGCACCTGACAAACCTATGTTTTTTTATGTTACTCAAGGTCAAGAAGAAATAGCTGGAAGTGGTACATCGTATTTGAATCGAACGGAAGCATCTAATGTTGAAAAAATAGCAACTAGATTTTTACGTTGTGGTGTAAAGCCTGAACAAATTGGAGTAATAACTCCATACGAAGGTCAACGAGCCTATTTAGTTCAATATATGCAATACCAAGGATCTTTGCACTCAAAACTTTATCAGGAGATCGAAGTTGCCAGTGTAGATGCATTTCAGGGTAGAGAAAAGGATATAATAATTATGTCTTGCGTCCGATCGAATGAACATCAAGGTATTGGATTTCTGAATGACCCACGAAGGTTAAATGTGGCTTTAACCCGAGCCAAGTATGGAATCATAATTGTAGGAAATCCGAAAGTATTATCAAAGCAACCATTATGGAATCATTTATTGAGTTTTTATAAAGAACAAAAAGTTCTAGTAGAAGGACCGTTGAATAATCTTAAAGAATCTATGATTCAATTTGCTAAGCCAAAGAAACTCGTTAATGCTGCTAATCCAGGTTCTCATTTCATGTCTACGTCAATGTATGACGCAAGAGAAGCTCTTATTCCAGGTTCCGTGTACGATCGATCAGGTACTCAGGTTAATGGAACGCAAAATCATAATCCTTATTATCAAAGAAATGTACCTTTAGATATATTCAGTAGGACCCATGACACCATAAGCTATATCAGTCCAGAGAGAGCTCAAGCAGCGATGAATAATGTTCCAGTTCCAGTAGGAATGTTTATGAATATGGCACATGTGCCTCCACGATTTTATAATCAACATCAGCAAGCATTACAGGCTAGACAAAACCAACGTAATCGTCGAGGAACATCTTTATCGAAAAATAAGCAGGGTCCACGAATGGGCAAACTAAGTCAAACGGAACAAAATACTCAACCATATAGTCAGCCAGGTTTACCATTAACTCAGGGTACGACACAGGGAATGTCGCAACCAGGTTTCAGTCTTTCTCAACCCGGTCTTAGTCAAGCAGAGCTTTCTCAAGATTCGTTTGCTGTCGGAGAATTTCAATCGCAAATGGATGGTTTATTATCTCAAGATTCAACTTATCAAGGTGATCGAAGTGGTTTTTATCAATCTGGACAGTCACAAGCTGGGGGACAGTTCTCCCAGCCATATTGAGCCGAGACCGTACGGCTGAGCAACGCAATTGCTATGCAGCGTCGCGGGAGCGACTGAAGGCTCGTTCGACCAATTCTTCTTCGACCAACAACCACAAATCACTAACTGCGCAAAACGGTAAAACGGCTCGGCGATCGAGTACGGTATATGCACACGCAGTCGTCGGCGTTTTAAAAGAGGGTTTTAAAACAAACAAGCAAACCAAAAAAAAAAAAAAAAAAATACTACAAACGGGAGAGTTCGTCGCCATTTACCGTCGAAATGCTGAATTGTTCTAGACGGGGAAAGGAAATGGTTAAAGAGTAAAACCACCGGGCATAACAAGTGCGACAAGCCAAAAAAAAATTTCTTAAAAATACAAAAAAAGGAAAGAGACTGGGAGACGACATTATCACACTAAAATTACCAACTATCACTGTGACACGCGTTTACCGTGAACGTACCGTTTTATCGCGGGGATCAAGTGACGTTAAAATTACACACACAGCAAAATAAAAAATAAAAAATAAAAAATAAAAAAAAAATAAAAAAAAACATCAAAATACTGAAAAACAAAAAAATGTAATGATAATAAAGATAAAAGAGAAAAATGGAAGATATGGAACGTGTAACGCTTCATGACTTGATCAAATTTGAGAAATGTGCCAATATATTAGTTGAAATGACTGAAAGAATCTCTAAATGGCAAAACAGAAAAAAAAGGAAATATTTACAATGTTACGGATATTTGATACATCCGCAATGTAAACAAAAGAAAAAAAGAATTAAGACGCATTATATTATTGAGTCTAATAACGCGTTACATTTTTTTTTATTTTTCTTTAAAAAAATATGAAATAAACAGCTATTGCTGAGAAAAATCTAAAAGGATTTTACAAAATCCTGGAATTTCACAACAGTGAAATTGTTTTTTCTTTTTTTTCTTTTTTCTTTTTTTGGTGATCCGTATGCCGTTTAATTATTATTTTGTAAACTGCAAAAAAAATTATAATAAAAAGTACGATTCTTGCAACGCGTGGGCACTCAACAATATTGATAACAAAAGAAAATAGCACGATTATTATCGTCATTGACTTATTTCTGAACTGATAAAACATCATCAGGTTGATCAGAAATTTCTGACCAAATTGTCGTCAAACAGCATAAGGCCGACACTTGAGTATCGTCATGAAGGAGGAATCCTTTCTCATAAGTATAGCGTAATATTAACATTACGCTAATCAATAAGGAATCTTATTAATTTTGATCATGTTAATTACTTTCTATCTTTTCTGGTTAGATCGATATATATATACACATACATACACATATATATATTGTATATATTTTATTTACCGCAGGGGCCGACAGAGCGCGCAAGAATGAGAAAAATGATTTTCATTCAGTACTTGTTTTTTCTTTTATAGGATTTGCATATAAATGACAAAAAAAAAAAAAAGAAAAAAAAAGAAAAAGAAACAAATTACAAATGTATGTTCAAGTAATTAAAACAATTTCCTTCAAAAAAGAAGGAAAAAAAATTAAAGAAAAGAAATAGAATGTTAATTTCGATTAACATTGCCATTTTATAATAGTATTGTTTAGATGAAAATTGACACAGTTTAGAAAAAAAAAGAAACAAGAAATTATCTGGATTTTGAATATTATTCTTATCTATAAAGATATGAGTAGTTCATTTAGTGTTCATAATATTTTATGCGTTCTAATATACTGACCAAAGTATGGTTCTATCTGCTAATTCCTTATAATTTAGATTCTTTCTTTTGTTCTCTCTTTCTCTCTCTCTTTTTTTTTTTTTTTTTTTTTTTTTTTTTTTTTTTTTTTTTTTTTTTTTTTTTTTTTTTTTTTTTTTTTTCTCTCTTGCAAACCCTCTGCAATTTTTTTCTGTATTTTTTATCTGTACTGGCTTCTCGCGGTAAAAAATTTGGATAACAAACTCACGAAACAAATTAAGAATGAGAAAAAGAAAGAAAACATTACATAATACAAAATTGTTTTCTTTTCTCCTTTCCGACCAACAGCGCACCGCTAACTGCAGAATATAATATGAAAATTCATTGTGAACTTTAAAAAATGAATAAATTTAATTTGGAAAAACAATTTTCGTTTGTTTCTAACCTGCAAAATCTAACGTGATTTATCTTTTTTCTAGAATATTAATTCTACAATAAAATTTAATAATAATACAATATTCAAATGTTATGTATATAAATAGTTTTTATTTAACAACAAAATCGAAATTACAAAAATTTGATGATATCGCCTTAAAATTTAGCGTATAATTAGCATATAACATGTGCGTATAATTGACAAAATCAGAAAGATCATGAATTTTTTAATTTAGCGAAGGAAGACAATATTTAATTTCTTTATATCTGTTACAAAAATAAGTAAATAATTATTTATAAAAATATATTAGGCCTGTCAAAATACGATGTACATAGTTAACATTTACCTGGAAATTTTTTAAATTATTTATACTTACAAAAAAAAAATACTTGATGAAAAAAATTGTTTTTTTTTAAAGAAATTATTAATTTTACGTTTGATTTATAAATAATATGTACTTTAATTGTCTGCACAGGCGCAAAAATTGTAGTTTATACGTTTTATACTGTTAACACAGCCTTATGTTTTTACTATACGATATTTTAAATACCTCATATATATTATTTCACGCATTTTTCATACGAAAGACTAATCAAAAGAAGACTAGAACCGGAAGTAAGGATTTTTAATTCTTTTAATGAAAATAGGAACTTTAATGACAGAATGTGTCCATTTTAAGAAAAAGAAAACTATTGAAAATTTGATAAAATGAATAATTAAATAGTTCAGTCTACTTGCAAGATTTTCAATATATAATTATATGGTATGCTGATGATGAATGATTTTTATATGTTTTCGTTGATAGTTTAGTGTAAATATTATTAATATCTTTTTTCAATTTCTAATTTTTGTTTTTTTTCGAACAACAATTTTTTATCTTTTTTACTTTTTAATTTTTTTTCGTTATCTCAAAGAGATATATTTTTTTTTAGGCTTTTCTAAAGTGTAAATTTATATTCGCTACAATTTTTAAATTAATAATAAGTACTTTTTTTTTATTTCATATTTGAATATTTTAAATATTAAAGAAAATTTTCGATGACATGTCATTTTTTTAATTTTAAATATATAATTTTTTTTAGCTAATTGTCAAAAAAAACATGAAATTTTTTACGATAATTTTTAGATTAATGAGAAACTACTTATCGAATAAATTATAAGCCGATAAGTGTAAGGCACTGTATTTTCGTATTTGAAAATTTTGAAAAACTTTATAAAGTTATATATCAAAATGAACTTAAAAAAAATTCTAAATAGGATAGGAATATTTTTATATAAAAGTATTTCATTCATGTATAATTGTTATCATCGAATGTTAGATTTGATTTAGCACCATTTTCAAATCACAAATGCTATTGCACTTTTATGTTATTATTATTTCTTTTTTTTCATATAAATATAAATTCTTGCAGCGAGTAGTTTTATATGTTTATAAAAAGGAAATAAAACTGAAACAAAACGAGACGAGAGAAAAACTCGAGTTTCTAAACGCAACGAATGAGCCATTGCACGAAAGTGCAGGCTATTATCACAAGATACGAGCATATTAGCTCAAGATAAGCGTAGAAAATTACCTCATTGTACTATTTTATCTCATACCGTAAGTAATATCAGTCGAATTGCCTCGAATTACATTGGAAGAGGCCAATTGCAAAAATAAACCGTTTTTCGAATATAAAATTATACTAGATAATGTGAATATTTCTGTACCAGCCTGTATGAATGTGATTACGTCATAGTATAGGGTGAAGTAGAATCCACCTTGACGAATATCCTGGCTAGGTCATGATGTTCTTTCAATTTCTGGTATGTACAATCAAATACGTATTTAATCCTTGCAAAAACATCTGGATCGTAAACTGATCTAGCAGTGTTAGTTAGATCAAAAGGTTCTGCAAATATATAAATATTTAATGAATATAAAACATTATTTTTTTCTTTAATGATTCTTAACTTATCTCATTATTCACCTTCAATACATAAATATTTCCACTGATGAGGATCATTTTTATAAGATCGTGCTCTTCGGCATTCTTCTATTGGTATTTTATTAGCCAAACGGACTGATATCGCATACTGATTGAAACTAATTAATTTTTATTTAGTATAATATTACTCATTGAAATATATCTTAATATTTTTTTTTTCTACTCACTCGAACATGACATAATACCGAAAAAATTCGATGAACAATTCTCCTAACGACTGACGATTCTTAGGCCGAAGTACGGAAACTGGAATATCCAGTTCTTCTTGGATATCTATGCAATGGATGTCTGTATGTGGTGTGAATTTGCCTTCATAAAGGGAATGTAAACAAGGTAAAACCGGTGGATTGACACCATCTAAGAAAAATAATATATTTAAATAAATAAACAATACGTATCTATTATGAAGTAAAAAGTAGATTGGATAAATACACTGCAAAAAATGAATGACCATAAGAACTAAGGAATAACTGGATATTGTCATGTTCTTGGCGTCATTAATATCCTGAGATTGAGCCCAAAGTTTAACCACAAGTACCAATGGTCTCACTCTCCAATCAACTGTAAAATATTTGAAAAAATAATTATGTAAAATAAATTATCATAATTTAAATATTTTTTTTTTATTAATTAAAATCATTTTACTTCGAGAATAACAATAAAGAAGATGAGTATTTCGAATTCCAACAGCATTGTTACAATTTAAATCAACTTCTAAATTTTGTATCGAATCATGGAATTTTAGAATTGGTACTTTTGCTTGTATAAGTTCTAATTGTTCTATAAAATCTGTTAACATAAAAATCTCATTTTATTAATTTGAAATTTTATAATTAATTAATCAGTAGTAAAACTAATATTTAAATTGTACCACATCTTTTAAGGCATTTCAATATTTGCTCTAAATGTCCAATAGCTTCATTCCTTTGATCCATTTCTGTATGTCTTACTAAAAGGCACATGTCAACATCACTATTATCTGATCCAAAACCATTCATTGTAGAACCAACCAAGAATAACCCATATTTTGGAAATGCTGTCTGAAAATAAATATTACAATTTCATTCATATATACAAAATGTTTAAATTATGTATTACCTTGATGTAAACATAAAGATATCTCCAAAGCATCATCTTGTTTCTATAAACAGTCTCAGTCTGTTGATTTAACATAAATTTCGACCAAATATCTTTCGAAAGTTTATCCCAAATTGATCCATTAAGTAAATCATCTGGTGTACGAGTTACCTCAACTAAATGTGACCTAGCTAGGAATCGATCTGGAGCAATTCCATATCTGGGAAACATGTGATAATTAGGCGATAATAATCCCATATATCTTTTATTTCTAGGTAATCTTTGAGGAGGTGGACTATTCCTTCCTAAAATTATAATTTGTTTCTGAAGTAAATGATAGATGAATTAGCATGCAATCATTATTGTGAACATACCTGAATGATACCTTCTTTTATTCTGATAAGTTTGCATTTGAGTTCTAGATGTTGACATGGTAGTAGGATAACAATTAATAGATCGTTGATTCTGATAATATTGATGTGTAGAACTATTTGAAATTATACCATATTGCATTATTCTATTGTTTGTAACATTATTTGGATGTATTTTGTGTGACTTTCTGGAACACAATAATCTTTTGATTTTATAATGTATTAAACAATTATATCATTAAAATTCTTTTTAATCATCCTTATTTATTTACATAAATAACACTTACTTCATACTTTGTTCAACTGAAGAAATTACAGAATCTCGTTCATCCGAGCTTTCTGTTTGACTACTATCGATATGATGTTTATTTGGTGTTGGAGATCGTGAACTAAAGCCACTATCGCTGCTATATTTTTCGTTATTTACGTAAGAATCTCGAAAAGAAGTTCTTTTACTTAATTTATTATACCAGTTTGACTTTTTGCTTGTTAAATTATTATCATTGGGTCTAAAAGCAAGATGTGGAGAAGGTATAATAGGTGTATTGTTTGAAATATTTATACGTCTTTGCCAGTGTCCTGTTTGTGTGCTGTTATTTGATTGCATATACTCTACATGCCGTAGAGATGGTATTTCAACCCCCATCAATTGCAATAGCTCCAATGGATAAGATCCTGTCTGCAAGAATACTGCTTGTACTCAAAGGTATTTTTTTAAAAAAATATAAAATATATTGATATTTTTGAACTTTTTAAACTTATGATATAAATGATAATATACCTGTATCATTTGATGTCTGTTCTGAGAACAAGCATCTGAGCGATATTTTGCATATTCTGCCTGATGGAATGCACTTGCACCATGAATGTGCATTGTGTGTGATTGAACTGGTGGACACTGTCCATTTGCCTGTTGGCCACCCATTATCTGCACCATTATTTGTGGTGGATACATAGTATGATACATAGTCAAAATAAATGTATAAAATGCTACAAAATACTTAAATCTAAAGGAAATATTCTTTAATAGAACATATATATATGATCTTTATATTCTTTCTTTAACGAAATAAGTATTATGATATACTAAATAAAATGAATATTATTATATATCAATTTGCAATAAATTTAAATTAAAAAATAAAATTCATTAACAAATAATCATGTACAATTATTATTAATATTCAAATATTTTCTCCTATTGTTTTTTCATTATATAATATATTTCTAAATATTTGCAAATAACAATATAATATAATCTATGAATATGAAATAGAGAAATATAATTAAGTTAATCCAAAATAGTTTAGAATATAAACAATATTCTGAATAATTATAAAACAAATAATAATTTCAGAAAAACCATGTATCTTATATTTTAATATATATCACTCCTTTACGACTTTAAATTAATTTTTTTTAAATTATTTGCATATGAATTATTTGTTTTTTTTTATTGTATCTCGTTTATTGTCATGTAATTCCAATAGTAAATAGTACTTTTGCTCAGCCGTTGTGACGTTTAATCGCACACTTCTATTTTTCAAATTCTTAGCGGACGTACAGGTTTACGACTAGCAAAGTGCGTTCCTGAAAATATATAAAAATCTTAAAAATTCAATATCAATTTAATGAACATAATTAATGAACAATAGTTTTATTAGAAATTTTAAAATATACTAATGCAGTATAATAATTCTATTATATAAAAATTTTCTACATTATAGGTTAAATACCGACATTATAATACTATATAATTAAAAAATAATTTCTAATACGTAGCATACTCGATATAATACAATCGTGATTATAGATATACATAGAAAGTATTTATCAGTTATATTCAAAATGTATCATATAAAGAAAAAAACTACCTGTGCTACAAATAACAGTGAAAATGATTAGTTGAAAAGAGTACAAAAATTAGAAAGATTGGTTAACCGACGAAGATGATGAATAATAGAAAGCAAAATATAATTATGAACTGTTATTCTAGTCAGCATCTTTATAATTATATTGTTAGAAATAATTATATACCTATTTTGTGTCGCCATGTTCTAAAGATTTGTGTTGATCTAACACGATATTTCTCAAAGAAAAAATCCACAATCTGTTTCTTGGTCCCTCCCAAACGATTACCAAAGAACAAAGATATTCAAAAGTGTCTCAATGCAATTGTATCTCCCGCCGGAATCCAGTGACTAATTCGTGATCTTTAATAACGAAATTATCTTTTTTTACGACAAATGTCTTTAGGATTTACACCGAACTCTTGTCACTTTTAACACATTCCGACTAACTAAACTTGTCCGTTTAAATTTTCGAATTCTCCCATATAATAAACGTTTTTCGGCTTGACACTAAATATTTACAAAATGTGACGTTAGATGGCGAGGCTCGAAAGAAATTGCAATTTACCAAAGGAGTTATGAGAAAAGTTGCCGATCGCTCCAACTTTTCATATTTTATTTATAATAGAAGAAAAAATACTAGTAAATTTATTTAGTTTAATGTGTATTTCAATGTAATTTTTTTTATAAATACTAATGCGTAGAACAAATCATTACACTATAACAATATGTAAGATGAAATTTACCTACTGTATGTTAAAATGCATGCAATTTGGAATTTTATTATCTTTCATAATTTTTTTATAACTGTAATATAAAATGGCAGCCATATTTTATTCTTATTGTAAATATTTTATTAAGAGAGTAGATGAAGTAGATATCTAATTATTTTTTATATATTTTCTTAATTATATATGTAAAAGTTGTAAATAGTTTATCTATCTTTTTATTTGCCAGTTATCATAAAAATTTCATGCAAAAGTGAAATATCTCGTATAAAACCACTAAACGAAAAATATATGAAGAAAAAAAAAATACTATAACAAATAAAAATTTAATTTTAATTGAAGTGCGTTATACCCTGCAATAACATCCTAATCTCATAGCACTTTGCATCTAGAATTCATATTGTTATATCACTCTCAATGCTTTCTTAATTTTAATTTATAAAATGCTATGAGTCAATATAGTTTAGGCAGATAAAGAATATTGTTTCCTGAGTCTTTGGAATTCTATTTCTTTTTGTAAATATTCTTTAACGAATGGATGTTCCAAATGTGAATCCTTCAATTGACTTAAATAACGATTAGCAACTTCAGGTGGTTTTCCCATATGCTGAGAAAGTACAATCATATTGATTAAAGTATCTGGATTATTACTATCTTTATCCAAAGATTCTTGCAAAGCTGTTTCAGCTTCTTCATATTTAGCTTGTCCAATAAAACAAGTAGCTTGACCATTTAATAACATACTTGTACTGGAATGTTTATCTATCATATCCTAAAATTATATAATATATTATAATAAATTATCTTTAAACTAAACATATATAATAAATATAATTTTACTTGAAATATATAGTAAGCATCTTGTAACTTATCTCCACCACTGCTTATGTTTAACCATGCTTGTGCCAATTGAGTTAGAGTAGCATCATCATCTTTCTCCTGCATAGTAACTAATTCTTTCTTTGCAAGATCCAATCGATCCATTTTTAAATAAATTTGCAGAGTTAGGGCTAAACATTCTAGATGATCTACATTACGAAGTATCCTAAGTGCTGCTTCTAAGTTTTTTTCATGATAATAGATAGTTGCAGCAACAATCAGAAAATTGTGATTATCATAATTAGTACGATTGGTCGCTTGTTGCAATTCTGCGACAATCGCTTCTCTGCGACATGGATTCGCAAAATAATCAGCCAACATTTTCAATGGTTGTAAATCAGGAGGAGAAGAATTATTAATTTCATCTAGCACAACACGAAATTTTCTTTGTGCTATATATGCACGATAGAGAAATACATCTCGTTCCATTATCACTTCTGGTGAAGATGACTACAGTAATATAAATTAACATTAATATTTTACTTAAAATAATTAAGAAATTATTTTTAATATTAATATAGATAAAAATTAAATTAATATATCGTGACAATAAAATAATTTGTTTTGATATAGAAAAAAATATTTTTTGTATAAGAGAAAAAGGTATGCGTTTAAAAAAAACATATTCTATGATTACAAACCTTGATTTTTTGTGCTTCGTTGATACATTGTTGATAATTGCCAATATAGAAATGATTTTTTACATCGAAAAGTTCATCAACGTCTGCTTGCTGCTGACGTGCCATCTTGTCATTTCGGTAGTAGTATTTCATTCAATTATATGTTCCGGTTTTCAAAAATTGTACATTGCAATATCAATTATTTGATTGCATAAAAATAATTTGATTTATATATTTTTTCAATTTATATTTTATTATATTTTAAAATTTTAAAATTAATTCTTTTTTCATTTATTCGACTTCATATAAATATACGTTTTTTGATTCTAGAAATATTCTAAATTTCATATACTATAGCAAGATTTTATATTTTATGTTTATTATATATATATATATATATATATATATATATATTATTTAAATGTGCACTGTCAAAAATAGTAAAAATGTATAAAATATAAATGTAATGTATTTTACATTCTATATAAGATTTCATAAATGATAAAAATTTTTATTTTAAAAATAATAGTTTGACAATTTTTGTAGATATTGAATTAATAAATAATATAATTATAATAAAAATTATTACAATTTTATATATACACATTAATTTATTTATTATGGTATATTTTTTCAATTATTAAAATAATTTAACGTATAATAACTTTTTTTTTTTATTTTTAGGTTAAGCATTGTAATAGTTAATAATACCGTATGATGAATATCTTAAAGTTCGATAAAAAATTTATTTGAAATGGCGAATTTTTCTTATATGTATTTCGTGAAATATTATACATACCCATTCTTTATAATTGTATTTTATTTTAAATTTTGGCTTCTTAATTTATTAAATACAATAAGTTGCTAAGTAAGCATAAAATAAGGTACCTTCTTTTTTACTAAAAATTGTGTAAAAAAAATTAATTTTAACGGCAAATAAAAATGGATGTTAGTACATTATTTAAAGCAAGTGTAAAAACTATTAGTCTTCGTAATAAAGCTTTAGGAATTATTGATAATACACAAAATATAAAAAAGGCAAAAAATAAAAGTGCCTTTTTTATAAAAGTTCAAGGTGTTGTTGCACAAATTTCAAAATTACGCGAATTTTTATTGGAAAATCGAAAAGCATATTTAAATTTTTCTAACTACATGTCAAATATGCCAAGTATGACAGATGCTGATCGTGATAAAATTGATGTTGGTGCGCAAAAAATAATGACTACTTGTTCCCAGTTAATCAAAGAATTAAAGAGAGACATAGCAAGTTCTGAAGTTTCTCCACAAAATTTGGAACATAGAGAAATTATGTTATTGTTAATTGAAGATTATTTGAAGAATGTTTGCAAAATTTATTCAGAACAAAAAGCAATACGAGTAAAAAGAGCAATGGAAATAAGAAAAATTGCCAAATTGGAACTGGAAAAAAAACCAATTAAAGAATTAGAGCATAAAATAAAATCCAGTTCAAACACAAATGAAAAAACTGAAGACAAAGAAAATAAAATTAATTCTGATGATTCAAGCCCTATGAAAATACAAGAAATAAATGGGGATGTAAATACATTAATATATGAAGAAGAAATATCACCTGAAGATATACAAGTATTTGAAGCAGAAAATGAACAATTATATAATGAACTTAATACATTAACAGAAGAAGTGAGACATATAGAAAGTAAAGTTGTACACATAGCTGAACTTCAAGAAATATTTACAGAAAAAGTATTAGATCAAGATAAAGATTTAGATCGTTTAATGACAACAGTTGTTGGATCGACAGAAAACGTGAAAGAAGCTAATGAGCAAATTAGACAAGCAATTCAGAGAAATGCAGGACTCAGAGTGTGGATTCTTTTTTTTCTTTTAGTTATGTCTTTTTCTCTATTGTTTCTTGATTGGTATAATCCATAAAATAAAGAGGTATATTATTTTATTACATTTTCTTCGTACAAACATCTGAAGAATGTTGTATTATATGTAAAATATTGATATAATACTTGTACACTCTGTTACTCTGTAAATGACAATGAACAAAACATTTGCCAAAATATGTCATTGTATTTTATCCCCAAACATTTTACATAACAGCTACATCTTATATAATAAAATTTATAGTATATGTATATATTTATTTATATATACATATTTGCACATGTGCAATAGCCATGTACAATTTTTGTTGTCTTGTTAATATTTGGTTTAAAAGAAAATCATTCTGTAAATTAATGAAACTGTCATAAATGTATATAAGATATATTCTCTTATATCTTCCATTGCTTAAAAATTATTAATGCTATCTTAATATAAAGTATTTAGAGGCAACTCGCTTGATATTTCTTCTTTTTTTGAACTTATATCTATCATGAATAAATGATTAAAGTTTCTTATATGATATATATCCAGTACATAAAAAGTGTAATGTAAATATATTTGATTTATTACTTATAATTTTATGTAAAAAAATATTTACAGGATATACCATCCATTATTATTTTTGATTTACAGAGTAATTTTAATATTAGTTGTATACAATAATAATTTGGATAAGTAACAGCCAAATCAAACATAAATAGCCAAACACAAATTAGAATTATAATCTTAATAAAAGAAAGATTCTCATAGCAAATTGCCTATTTTTTGATAGCATAAATTTTTTCTTTCTTTTTATAAACGAATAACAATTATTTAATTATTAATTAAATGTAAAAAAAAATTTATTCTCGAAATGTAATAATAATTCTTATAAATATAATTAAATGTATTATTGTAAATATGCTAATATGAAAAAAGCAATGCACCAAGTTATTTACAACATTATTGTAAATATGAATTATTATTAGATTTCTAATTGTTTATATTTTTTTTCAATCTTTTGTAAAAACGATATTTAAAACAATATGATAAAATTATATTTTCTTATTTGGTCTGTATTAAAAAACTTATTCAATAATAATAACGAAATGAATATATAAATGAAATAATATTGAATCGCATAAATTGCGATTAAGAATCATGAAATGTCTTTAAAATTTATTTTTTTATAATTCATTTGTTTTTTTTGTTTCTCCTTTTTTTTTTACAAAAGTGATTTTTGATTTAGAATTTGATTTATACAAAATATTACAAAATTCTACTGCTACGATTTTTTTTTTTTAATAGTAAACAATATGGTGTGTAATAAGCATATGTAAGTTATGCATAATGAATAATCACAAAAAAAATCTTTACACCAGATATTCTTACAGTCAATATTACTACGTAAAACATGTTTTGACATTTTTAATATAAATTAATTTGCTTTGCATCCTGGTCATAATTTTGTTTTACGAGTTGATTTTTACTTCCTCTAATTTTTTAAGAGATCTCTTTGCAAGCAGAGTTCTTATGTTACATTTAACATAAACAAATGCAAGCATCATTGTTTTGTACTTTTCTATTCATTTCACATCAAGACAATTCTTTAAATAGACGTTCTTTTATAAGTTGACAAGATTTCTTGTACGACCATGATGCAAAAGATATCAGATAATCATAATCATAATTGCAACATAATTTTTTCAGATACTTATCAAAAATAGATTTTGATATTGTAGACAAACTATTAAAATAGTTTTAAAGTATTAGTACTTTAACGTTTTATGAGTACATAAACAAATAGATGTGCTTTATAGTTGTCCAAAGACAAAAATAATGTTCTCAATTTATCAAATATATCTAGAATGATACAATAAAAGTAAAAGATTTTTATAATTTACAAAGACAGGATCTCACCTGCTTTCGAAATTATAGTTATAATTTCTCAATCATTGAATATATTTAATTTTGTTTATAATTATATTTATAACGAGGACTTGCATCATAGGAGCATAATTTTCCTTCTATTAAACATTGAACGATCCATGTTGTGGAAAGTAATGGAATTTGTAATTTATTAGCTTTCTCTATTGCCCAAAATGGGCATAAACTGTTTGTAAGAACTATAGTTCCCTGTACAAAACTTTCCATTGCATCTAAAAATTGTCAAAAACTTTTATTCAATATTAATGTTAATTTTTTTAATTATCAAATTTCTATTATATAAAATTTTTCATACCTGGTTTTTCTGCTAATAAAACAACAGCACCTGTATTTTCACAAATTTGACGCCAAAATGTAGCAAATTGTTTTTGAGACTCTAGAAATGGAATTATTATCACAACTTGAGCCAATGGTTTATTACTGGATCTTTGAAACATTTCAACATATGAATTTTTTTCCAAACTCCATCCTGAAGGTAATTCATCTTCAGCTAGATTTACAAGTTTTCCCTAGAAATAACGTTATAACATATAAAATATAAAATTATAAAATTATAGATTTGTGTGTATAAATATATATTATAATTGCATATATTATATATTATGTATGTATTATATAAATATATATTATAATAATATTTACCTCTTGACAACATCTTATTATCCAATTATGATTATAAGCGGGTATACCAACTGAAAGACACAAGAGAGTCTTTGCAGTTGTATTTGGCACATTTGTTATCAGTTTTGTATTTTTGTACTCATCCTGAGGAATTTCATTAAATTCTGTATAAACTTTTCCGCCACCCGCCACTATTTGTTTGATTAATCTATCTCTTATGAAAGGTTTTTTTGCCCATTCTTCTTCATTTTCAGTTCCAGAACCCAATTCTGCATCCGAACCATAGTCCTTGTTATTATCTTGAAATCGATCAATAATTTCTAAGGATGCACAAGTGAGAATAAAAGACATGCCTTTAAAGAGATTTAAATCTTCATGTGGAATTGGACCAAATATCGCAATAGTTTCTTCGTCATCCACTTTTTTTTTACTCCTCGATTTACTTTTGATTCGACTTTGTGGCCCTTTCACAATTTGTTCATATGGAGTTCCAATTATTTCAGATTGGACGCCAATAGAAAAAACTTCATCTTTTATAGAAATATTCGAATCACTAGAAACATAATCACTTTCAGAGGATGCTTTCTTTTCCTTTTTGCTTATAGAAGTTATACCAGAAACAGATGGTTCTATTTCAGATTTATTTGTAGGGGTATGGATTAATTTAGATTTAGGAGTAGAAAAAATGGGAGTAGCAATCCGTTTAGAACGTCTTTTTCCATCAACCATGTTATCTAATGTTATTTGACCTAAATATTTTGGCGTAGATGGAAGACTTTTGTTCTCCAAATTAATTTCTTCTTTTAATACTTGAGCTTGATCAGCAGAAAAAGAAATATCTTTGATTTGAACTCGTAATTTTTCTCCTTCATCTGTTTCTACTATATAATATACTTCGTTATTTACAGTTACAATATCAGTTATTATACCACACGATCCGTAATCATAATTTTTAGTAGCAGCATATACAGATAAACCTTCTTTCAAAACTTTTGGTATTGGTATAACAAAGTCTTCTATAAGTACTTTACTTTTTCCATCAAAAAAGTTTACTTTATATTTTGTTTTTATTTTATCAATAACTATACCTGGATAGTAATTATTATCAGACCATTTAGCAAATACATTTTTACCAATTAACTCGTCTGTTATTACATGTGGTTGAGGTTTTGTTGAAATGTCTACAGTATTCGACGAATTGTCCGTATGTTCCGTTTTATTCTTTTTTCTATTTGGTGTATTGTTGTTCTCTGTAGGACTTAATACTTTTGAAATCTTATTTATTCCATTTGAATGATTATCTGATTTAGTACTTTTACTTCTAGATCTCTTTACTGCTTTACTCTTTTTTGTGCTTTTAGGAGTTTGTATCGATATTACTTCTTGTGAAACTTCTGGAGTAGACGATCGAATTTTTTGTAATTGATCATCTATCCTCTCATTGCTAACATTATATGCATCAGTTCCACTAAGTTCAGTATTTGCAAAATTTAAAACAGTTGTTGTAAGAAGATGACTATTTTGCCATTCTTTATTAAGACGTTCATATGCTTCTTCTATTGCTTGTTTATCATTTAGTGAATGCATATCTTGAACATGTCTTTTTACATGCTTTATTGGTGCTCTTGGTAAAGAGAAATGTGTACTATCTCTTATTGCTAGTTTGGCTGCCAGTGAAGCAGCACTAGATGCAGAACTTAAAGAACTAATTGTTGATGCAAATGAAAGTCTGGAAGGATTCAATTGATATAATTGCGGATTACTATTTACTGATCCTGGAGATGTATCTTTATTATCATTTCCAGAAATATCTGCTAATGAAGTAGATGTATCATTGGTTTTTTGTCTTGTTATAGTGGGCTCTCCAACAATAGTTTCACATTGCACACTAGTGATTTCTTTACTTAGGAATTCTTTTGTACCTTCGTCAATATGTAATAAACATTTCATTCTAACATATATACCAATTTCTTTTTCTATTTGCAAAGCTTTTGTAATAGAACTACTGTGAGTCGAATTTGACTTACTTTTATCATCTACTATAAAAACGTCAGGTTCATTGTCACTTACACTTAATAAATCAGCGTGATAACCGTCTTTAGATATGGTGATTGGTTTGATTTGTTTATTTATATTATGCACGGATATAGGAATATTGTTATCTACTTTATCAAGAACCGGCATATCGCTAAACGTGTCTGATTGTAAACTAGCTGTGCTATCAGTATCACACTTTTTTGATTCACTACTTCCATTTACTAATTTACTATCAGATTTAGCTGAATCAAGGGATGGTTCTTTGGTATTTTCTATTGATTTATAACTAAATTCGCTACTACTTTTGCTGTCATAACAACTTTTGTATACTGTATCAGACTTTGTGTTATCTAAAATATTTTTATTTTCAACTTTTGCATCAGAATCTTCTTGAGATGAATCTAGCACAATTTTTTCACCATCTTCATCGATTTCTACTAGTTCTTTAGATTTTAACTTAATTTCATGAATTGCAGTTTGATCATATATAAGTTCTATGCTCTTCCTTGATTTGCATATATTTGAAGAACATGTATTAGTGTGTGATTCGCTAATTTCTTTAGAAACTGATATTTCTTGAATATCACTATTATTTTGTTCCAAACTAGTATGCTGTATAGCTTCAATACCATTTTCCTTATCTTCGGTTTTTTCGTTATATAATATTTTATTATCTTTTACTTCAATTGATCTAGTATTATCTGTATTTTTATTATCCAAATCCGATTTTATCTTTTCAATTGCAATAACTTTAAGTAAAGATGGAGCATCTTTTTCTTTTGTTTGAATCTGTGTTAATCTATTTTCGTTAGAATTAATTATATTTTTTAAATCAGATATTTCATCATTAAATTCTTTTTTCCCAGTAGGTTGATGTAGTTTTGATGTATCGCTAAAATTTTTATTCTTATCAATTTCATAATCTTTCATCTCTAATTCAAGATATTTTTCATTTTTAGTTTTTTCCTTATATTTTGTTGGCATTTCTAACAAAGAAATGCTTTCCGTATCTTCATCTTCTTCAATGTCTTGAGTTTCTGCAATTATAATATTTGTACCAGAACAATTTTTATGGAATTCTTGTTGAGAATTATCAGATTTAAATGAATGACAACTTTCTTCTTCTTCTTGCTCTCTTTTTTCAGGTACTAATATATCTTCCTTGGATGCTGTTCTCAAAATTTTTGCAGGAGGTTCATCAAATAATTCTCCTTTTCGTTTTAAACTTGTAATTATATTACCACTACATTGTTTTTTAGATGGTGAAGTAGAAGTAAGTGGTGTGCACTGTATTATTTCTTCATCTTCTTCAGAATACTTATCTTTATTTTCTAAAATGCTACTTTCTATAATTTTCTTTTCTTGCTCCATTTTTTTAGATGATTCTATATTCTGTGTATCTTTTTCTTTTATAAGTTCAATATTTTGTGCATTTTCTATTGTTATAGATTCATTATTCTGTACATCATTTATTGTATGCTCTGTTATTTTTATTTCATTCAGAATTATCTCTGTATTAACATTAGAAATAGAAGATAATGCTTCTTCCTGCTTTATTTTTTCTAAATCTTGATGAGATTTATCTAATGATTCATCTTCACTTGTATCTATTAAATGAAAATCCTGACTCTCGTTTAAACTATTGATTTCGCTACATGCCAAACTTGATTTGCTTCTCTCTAAATTTTCAGGACATGTATCCTGGTTTTCCATTGCACAGTCTTCTTTTTTTTCTGTTTCTGACATCTTTTAATCTTTTTTATCAAAATGCTGAAATTGTGAACATATTAGTTAAGAAATATTAAATTTTTTCATATAATCTTTATATATTTTTAAAACATAAATTAGTTTATATTAATAATTTATAAAAATTAAGATAAATTATATAAAAAGAAACGAAATTCAAGGACACCCTATATATCGATACGGTGTTTACAACAAGTATGGAAGGTTACGGCGGGAACGTCATGTGATCGCGAAAATTGATCAAAAATCTCATGTTATAGAAAATGAAACGTACTACGATTGACTGTACACAATGAGGTGTATTTTCTGAATTGAACTATTTGTATCTCTTTGTTAAAATATTACATCTATTGCCGGAGATAAATATGTTCGCCGGCCCTTGAAAGCGGGAGTTCATGTATTTGTTCTGCTCACCACTTTTACAGGTTTCCTTTCTAATTTCGTATCTCTTACTCGTCGTCGTCGTGCGTCTTTGTTTATTATTAATATTGAGAATTACATTAATAAATCGGTCTCCCATAGAAAATATTACGAAAACTCCACTTTTTAATCACAAAGCAATACAGGCCATAAAACGCCATCGCCACTTTTAGTAATCATAGATTATGTAATTCTAGATATACACAATTTCAGTAAGGTAACAAACCTTACTGAAATTGTGATATTTATTAATCCTCCAATCACATCGTTTTGTATAAGCAACATAACATAGCGTTATTATTTGTGGACAAGTTTTTCTTCAACCAATCAAAATGTATAATATATCATATAACAACTTTATATTATATGAGAAGAGTTTCACAATATAATTTGTTGAATAATGAATTCTTGGCAACATTAGTATATTTGTAATATCTTTTTGATTCATTGTTTTTAAATATTCATTTAAATATTCAACATTTTTAAATATTTCTTCAAATTCCTCTTTATATATTTAATAAATTTTTGTTTACTTTCTATATTGCGTCTTCTAACGGGAATTATTTTGCGCATTTTCATTTGTGCATTGGATGTAGAATGCGCTGGCATCGAATTTTATGGAATTCTTTTTTATAGTTCTTATTACAATATTAAAATAACGGAAAAGATACGAATTTTTTTTAAATATATTATTTTTGATAATTCAGAACATACAATTAAATAAAGATAGAAAATTAATTAAATATTTTAAATATTTTCATTTTTGAAATAATGTCAGATTGTAATCTAAATATTATTCTTGATATCAATAAATTAAATTTGGAATTAAAAAAGAAATTAGAAATAGTTTCAAAATGGAGAGGTATATTCTAATACAATCATTTTATATAATAAAAAGTTATTTTTAATATTCTGTTATTTGTAGCTGAATGTGCTCAATTGCAATTAGAGTTTTTAAAGTTATATACTCCAGAATGCCTTGAAATTCTTGAATCGCTCAAACAAATAACAGACACGAATATCAATTTAGATAAATCATAACTTATCATTAAAAATATTATCATATAAATGTATTATTGTATTAATTTTCAATAAACAATATAAAATGCAATTATGTTGAAATATATTTATTATATTCGAATATAGGATTGACACATATGTGAATGTATTCATGATTTATATAACATAAAGACAGACAATAGATATTTTTTATCGGATACAATATAAATTTATATTGTAATAAAATTATGATATATTTTTTTTTAAATTTCATTAAATATTTCATTTTAATATCGATTATATTTTATGATGGAAAATATTCTACACTAGAAAAAAAATCATATTATTATATTGTATCATTTGAAAGAATTAAAATATAAATGTATTTAAATAAAATAAAATAAGAAAAATGAATTTTTTTATTTTGCGAATACGAGAATATTGTTAGAAATTATCTATTATAATCGTGTGTTATGCTTTTCGATATTTAATGACAGTTTTGATATATTTTATTACACAATTAATTTTTTTTGTTTTTTGCGAGGCATTCATTCATTCGAATTTTTTATTTTCTTTATGAGTTTAAAATGATTTTTTGATCTCTATATTTATTAATAAAATAATTCTTATGATTATACTCATGACTTTATTCAAATTTTTCTTTTTTAAAAGAAACAAGTAAATAATTTTATGTTTAAAAATAAATTATGTAAAATATAATAAAATTTCTGTCGAAAGTTATTGTCCCTTATTGTTTGTTGTTGCATTTATTATCAAAATAAAAAACACCTCGCAAAGATAACATTCTTTCAACTTGAAATTTAACCGTCTCTCCTTTCTTTTTGTTATTAAATGATATCGGAATATATAATTATACACACAAACACTATAATCATTTTTATCGTCGTGTTCTCGAATCGACTTGAAAATATTACTCGACTTCTTGATCTTTTTTGTCTGAAGTCAAAATACTTTTTCAACAACAGTTAACATAACTTGTATCCTATTATTAAATAATATATTATTTTGAGTATCCTAATCTTATTATCTAGATCTTACTATATTATTTTTAATTGCAAACAAAATGAACGAAATATTGAAAGTTGATAAAAAAAAATGAAGCTCGATTCGAGGTCACTGATCTGTTGGAGAGCCAAACACGTTTCTCGATGTATTATAGATGCTGTATCACTTAAACTTTATCATTCGTTTTTTATCAATCCGATTGTTGAGAGCTAATTGTATCATAACCTATATGCAATCGTCGTCCACTATAAGGATAATTAAGATAACGATGCCAATAACGATAATGATATCGTCGTAAACAAGAATTGTTTCCATCGAGACGACATTGATCGGAAATTGCTGTTGGTATTTGTAATTGCGATAATACCAAAGCTGTACTAGCACAAGCTTCTCTGCTCTTTGGTCCTTCTCTTATTTCTTGAGCATCACAGATTTTTCCCGCTTCCATTGCATAGTTACCTAAACATTCCTCTTCTAAATCATTTTGTACCTAAAAATTATTGGTTTTTATTACCCAAAGATATTGGTTTATCATATATACTAATTTATTTAAATATTTAAAATATTTTATCATTATTTGTAGATTAATCGACGAACTTTTCAAACAATTAGCGAATTAAAGATATACAGTTTATGATATTTTTCCAGTTTTGATAAAAGTATAAAGACTTGATATATATATGTAAGTATATATATACTTACACAAGCTTTGCAGATTTGAAGCATAACGCAAGGAAGATAGAGTATTTGTAATTCATCTCCACCTAAAGTATCTACAACTCTGCATCGTTTTTCAATCATTTTTAGCTCAGGACAAGCTCTATTTTCTTCCATACCTTTCACAGAATTTTAATACAGTTTGAAATTTTTTAAGATTAAGAAATAGATACACAAACGATGATATTTTTAATTGAATTTATACCTTCAGTTTCGATTAAATTGTTAATGCGTTTGTCTTTGGTTTTAGGAATATTACTATTTTCTCGAAAGTTGGAGGATTGATTATTCTGTGCATAGATTGCCTTTTGAGCCTCTATTCTAGCCGCAACATTGTTTCTGAGATCGTTTAGAGCTTTTCTCATTTTCTCAAAAGAATACGCAGCAGCCATACGAGCCATTACCTTATCTTTTACCTATTTTTTTTAATTTAAATAAAAACATTATAAAAATGATAAAACATTATAATGTTAATTATTACGAGCATTAATTTCTTTGAATATATTACACCTTTTGCATATCTATATCATCCTCGGAATTTCCATATCTCATAGCTTCCTCGAGAATCAAGTCTTTAATGTTTTTTTGTCTCGAATCCAATTGGTTCAATTTATCTTTCCCTTCGTTAGTTTCTTTTTCGTAATCTCGTTCGTTCGGTCTCAGATTTTCCACCATATTCTGACAAATGCATAATTAATTCAACTATCGCAGATTGTATTTATAAGTAGAAAAAGATTTTTTTTAAAGATATTTAATCAATGCGTAAGATTTATGTAAATGCAACTCATCATCGAGAAAAATAAATAATTATTACATAATAACAATTATTTTAATTTATCATATTATAAAAAAACAAATAAATGAGATAATTACTTCATAATATCGCTGCAACATCCATTCATCATCTTGATTCTGAGTTCCTTGTCCAGCCATTAATGCAGCCTTTTTCCTTCTTTTATCAATACCAAAATATTGAGACCAATCGACGCTCTTCTTCCTGACTTCAATAGATTTCGATTTATTTAACTTTGTTACATTCTCTTTTTGCCCTTTTGATGGCAACATCACTTTTGGCGCTTCTGAAGTATTCTCGTGTTTATGCTGATCTCTATGATCGTGCTCATGATCGTGCTCGTGATCATGATTGTGATCATGATCGAGATCGTGATTGTGTTCATGATCGTGATTCTTGTAGTTATGCGTATGATTTTGATTATTCACAGATTGGGTGCCAAATAATGCTCCTAAATCTTGAGCAACCTTGAAAAAATAAATTTATTTTCGCATTAAAATATGTTTGTGCGATAATATATTAAAATACTTCATTAATTTGTAGAATCGATTAATTACCTTAGGATCGGTAATTTCTTTCTTGGTAGGCATAGCTTTCGGGCTCCTTTTGGCCACGAAATAACGTTTAGCCGTGTTTCTATAAGTTCTCATAGATCGTTCTGTAGGATACCCACCATTCATGTTTTTTTGTTCTTCCATAGATAGGTACAACAGATTTGGATCTTGCTCCCGATCGTTGAATTCATTTTCGTCGGATATTCTACCCTGTCCTCGAATCGTCGATTCTTTGTTAAACAATGCTCCCCAGGACATTGGACCTGAATTCCTACTACAAATCGTTTAACGTATTTATTTCATTATCGTTGAAATAATTATACGTTTATAATATTTCATATTACATTTTAAAAAAATGTAGAAAATATTTCTTTCCTTTTTTCTTTATAAAAAAAAATTATTAATCATAGATCACTAACTCGTATATTTTGTTGCCTCGATCGCCTCTATATCGATCATAAAGCATCTGACGAACGTCCACGTATCCTTCATCATCCAAGTCTGCAAGATTATAGGGAGAACCATCCTGCAACTCCTCCAGCAGCAATTTCGTCAGCTCTTTATTATCGATGTTTAATCGATCAGAATTAAAATCTCTCTTACGACTGGAGCTTCGTTCACGTTCTCGGAACAGCGATGGGACTTGCTCTTCCTGAACATTGTCAAACAATTCAAATATATACATGCTAATATCGAAGAAAAAAGAAAAAAAAAAGAAGAGGGGGGAAAAAAGGAATACCTGTTGCGGAATGCTTTCTAGATAATCGATCAACGCCCTTTCGAGTAGTTTATTGTTCAATTGGAAACCGTTCCCTACAGTCTCTAATTGTCCAGTTTCTGGAAAAAAAATTCTTCTTTCGAAATTATTATTCTTTTTAAAATTATCACACGAATCATTACGTACCACTAGGCAAGAATTCTATTTCCTCGTCTTCCTCTCCCATTTCCCTTTCTCCTTGATATTCCCTATCGAGCTTTCTCTCTCCCTCTCCTCCGTGATATTTAAACGAACGAAGATCATTGTAATATCCTTGCGGATTCGTATCCAAGGATCGTTGTTTCCTAATAATAGTATCTGGAGAGCTTCTCAACAATTCGTCCGTCATATGATGGACGGGCACGGGCACTATTGCTGTCACTGACCCCGTAATCAAAAACACTAATATCCATTCTTGCGATAACATTTCCCCTTTAAAAATATAATAATTTATCCAAATTATATATATATATATTTTTTTTCTTTTTTCATATTTGTAATTATTACTTAATTAATACGATTACATCGTACATTTTTATTATTATATTATATTCGTATATTATATTATATATATATATATTATTATATTATTATATTATATATATTATATTATTATATTATATATATTATTATATATATTATATCGTCAACTACGATACGAGTAAAAGAATCTTGAGAGAATATATTTGATGGAGAAAATTAATATCGAGATTAAGGGCATTGGCAAGGATAATCGAGACGGGAAAACACGTTGGAGTTTCATTTAATCAGCTTTAAATCGATTCCTTGAAAAAGGTCAGCGAAATCCGTTAACTGAAGACGTAGTAGCGAAAGCTGATGATGCAACAGGGATTGCTTTATCCGATCGATCATAGCTGCGAGTAATCGAGACATTCGATAATTATCGCGTCTTCTTGGATAATTCATATTACTATCATTTTATGCGATATATGTATGAAATACGCGATAAGTCGAAAAATAACTCGAGCAGAAAATTTTAAATTGTAATGAAGAATATACGTGATTTGTACATGAATAAAATGATATATCGTCATTGAAGTTATTTTCCGTTATTGTGAAAAAATTTTTCATTCTTCCAATAATAATTTCAAGGATGACGTGTTCAAAAAACGGAAAGATTAAAGTTTTAATTTTAACGAAAATCTGTTTTCCTTTGTTGTTCGTCGCCATTAGATCGATAAACTTTCCACGCATACAATCAGTTTCAGTCGCGAAATTTCATTAATATTTAGCTTTACGCATTTCTTAATTTTTATATATTTACGCATTTCAATATTTCAAAATTATATATTTTATTATACTAGTAACAATTTAATTTATGTAAAATTTTAAAAGAACAGAATGAATAATAAATTACTGTGCATTGATTATGATTAACAAATGGAAATGTATGTAATATATAAATACGTATTTGAATATAGAAACGAAATAATGTTGAATATTTAAAAATTGAAATTCCTTATCGGAAGTTTGTCTCTTCAATTTCATTATCTCTATTCTAAAAATAAAATAATAATCTAAAAAATAAATTTCATTTAATAATAATAATTTTTTTTTCTATACTCTTCTATACTTTTTTTCTATAGTAAGATATTCATTCATCTTCAACGCAAAAACTTCTCGTCACGGTCAATGGTTATCTGCTGATCATTTATATACGTCATGATTGTAACAGATGGTGAGGCTAGCCTCGAGTTGTCGATATTAATTTCTCTCGAGAGAACGCAAAAAGCTATATAAAGCATAATTTTATCGTTTTTATTATTAAAAAAAAAAATTAAGAATGCGAGAAACAATTCATTAAAGTTATCAACGAGTCGTAAGAAAAAAAAAAAAAAATTGAAAAACTCAAACTCATCTAATTTTCGTTATTTAATTATCGTCAATTGCTCAATTATTAAATAATAAATCGAAAAGTTAAAGAGGAAAGATTAAGTAATTTGTCAAGTCAATTTGTGTGTCAAGCCGATTAATTTAAGAATTAAGATTAAAGAAAAAAAAAAAAAAAAAAAAGAATATCGCGGCGAAGGATGTCGTTATTATTTCTTTCTTTCTTTCTTTTTTCTTTTTTTTTTCAATGACTTACTTGCTTCCTTAATTATTCATTCGAACACGAGCCAACTTGTATCCTATTTATTTTAATTGTGTTCAACCTTCGTCCACAGCGTTCCCACCACGTTGACGTGATTCCTTCACGGGTCGCATGGATATCTGTCGATCTGTTCTTTCATGATTACGACGATGACGCGGCCTTTTATACAAGGGTGGCCGGGATCGATAGAAACGCGCATGGAATTAGCATGGGGCAGCAACAAGTAAAGGCGTGTGGGGTGTGACTGGGAGAAAGCACGGCGAGGTGGAAAATTATGGACACGCGTGCCTTGCCAACTCGATCGGGATCTTGTGTGGTTAAACGGACCTCCCCGACTCGTTTCCATTTCTCGAAGGCAGATGGATGATGGCCTCCGATTTAAGGATCCGTCAACTTTCTCGTTCGAGGCACGCTTCCCTTTCGAGGGAAGGAAAAATGATGACCCGAATGAGAATTCTTAAATTTCTCGGACAACTCAACTCGGGGAATTTAATTCAATTTCCAGATTCTTGCGATGGTTGAAAATCCATAGATCGTTCCTTGAAAAAAAAATTACGAAAATTAAATTACGAATATTGGAATATTTATTGAATCGTCGTTTTCAGACAAGAATTTTCCTTTTACTTGTTCGATTCTTGAAAAATGAAAAAAAGAAAAAAAAAAGAAGGATAGAATATTTTAAATTATAATTGCTTTTTAAAGGATTGTTTATTATTTATTTTTAACTATTGACTTTTTGGAACTTTTTTAAAATTTTTTTTTTCTTATTCTTCCTGAGAGGGAAAAAATTCCAACTTATTCCAGTTAAAAAAAAGAAAAAAATAATTGCACATCATATCAACACAGGATTGTATTTAAAAAAAATCCAATACCAATTTGGAAGATTTTCGAAAACGTTGACGCTACTGCTAGTCAATTACGAATAAAACGATCGATTGAATTAAATTTACCACGGATCCATGAAGAATAAAATTTAAAATTTTTAATTTTTCGAACAATCATCAACAGAAATTCGACGTTTTAATTTTATTAATGAGAAAAAAAAATTGGAAAAGGTAGGGGGGGGGGGGATAGGAAAAAATTATTGGATATGAAACGACGAAGAACGATAACTTATCCACGATATACAACGATAAGCGATTGGTTATCAATGATAAAATTTACCAAACGTTCGAACGAGCGTTAGCAGTATTCGCGATAGAATTATCCACGGATGATTATAAGACGAGTTATTCCATTATCATCAACTCGATCAAAGGAGGAAGAAAAATTTCCTATTATTATATTTTTTTCTTACGCAAAAGACTTCTCTCAACTGTGTTGATAATAATCATAATTGATCGATCTTGTATAATCCCTCGTGCTGTTCAAATAAATTAAAATTAATTAATTAATTTGATAAAGTTTTGTATTACAAAAAAGAAAAAGGTGAAAAAATACTTTGTTTAATATCAAAACCATATTTTTGACGATGAATTCTCGTCATTCTCTCGCGAGAAATGAAGGGCAATGAGCTTAATTCCTTCATATCCAAGGCATTAACTGGTAACTTTTTTTCGATTGATTATTATTGATTGTCATTATAATAATAGTAATCGTATTTAATTATCCAAGGTACACTTGACAAAGAAAAAGAGAATTTCGAGTATATAGAAATGCAAGAAAATACGTTGTCCCCATCACCTCCAATTCTCTCGAAGTCTATCGTTATCACAGTGCAGCCACAAGGTAGGTGATGTTAATGATAAAATGTAGAATGCATCGATAAAGTAAGAAACGAATGAAATAAAAATAGAATCCAATGTGATATATTTTAAAGTTCGCCAAATTTTGCGAAAAAATGAAATAATTAATTATCACATCAATTATCATCGTTATCACATCGTTATTAATGATAGAATGTCATCAAAATATAATATTCATCAAAGGAAAGCTTCTTTTATCTAACTAAAAAGAAAAATTACAATTTCATCAATGTTAAATTAAATTGATTTTAAATTTCTGGAAAGCATAAAGATTAACCATCGAGATAAATATAACTTGGAATAATATCCAATTCTGTCTTTGGCCAGGACAAATTGAAGAGTTAAGAAGACCAATACCTGTGAGTACGTTGGATTGGATATCGACTCCGAGATCACAACTGACCGTACTGTCAGGAAGCCATTTCCTGGCCAATGTGGAGCAACTGGAAATACAACAGATTGTTGATTTAAATACACGTTCGTAATTTACTTAAATAGAAGAGCAAGTTGACGAGCGAATTAAATTGAAAAAAAAAAAAATATCGCTTATTTAAAATCTGTTTTCTATATAGTTAAATATATATATAGGATGTCCCAGGAAACATCTGTTAACTAGAAATTCCCGAGAAAATTTCGAACAATATTTTTTTTTGAAAAAAACTTTTATCACGGCCTTATTAACTAATTCATTAAACAAAAAAGTCACTGGCCAATCATACATCGCTGGAAATATTATAATTTATTCATTGTATAATTTCGTAATATAATTCTTTATATAATTTTTTACCGATAAAAAAATATTTGTTGTATTCAACGCACTTTCTTTGACGATATGTTGCTTGAATTTTTTTCATTACCGGCTCGACCGCCGGTACTGTCAACGAACGCTACTGTCACGGCTCGATTAAGTTACGTGATTGGCCAATGCTTTTTATTACTCATCCACAAAAGCCGTTGAACGAATATTCGATCGCAAATGTTGCTTAAAATCATCTCACAAATCTTTAGTTAACCTATGTTCCTATATTTTTGGGACACTCTGTACAGTAAGAGAGAAAATGTGACAAATCAAAGAATGATAATTTGTATTTATTCATTTCATTTTTATTATTATCAGTACTTGGTAAATCGGAAAAAAGATTCCAGTACAGAGTAAAAGTACCGAAAGCTGAAACTTTATTTTTGGCAATGGAAGAAAAAAGCAAGAACCGATTGAGTGAATGGAATTGTTCCAACTTAATACGCGATCATTTTGTGTTAAATGTTGTGGATCGATCTGGCGAAACTGCATTCGTCATGAATATGGATACCAGCCTGATGTATATTTTTAATAAATTACATGTGAGTTAAATTTAAACGTGGATTAAGTAAACGTGAATGAGATGCTTCGACTTTAACTCTTGGCAAGAAAGAAAAATGAAAATTTTGTTGCAGAGGATGACGGTGAAAAGCAGAAATTTAATTGGCACGGTGGAAGAAAATTTTAATATAATAGGTTCGAGTTTCACGGTATACGATGCGATACGGAACAAACTTTGTAACATATATGGTCCAAATGTGTGCGGTTGCTGTATGTATCAAGAAGCACAGTTTCAGGTCCGATTTAATCTTTATTCTCATTTATTGTATATTTATTTGTTTATTATTTATAATAAAGAGGAATAAAATATATATTGATTCTACAGGCTGTTTTCAAAAATCGATAATTAAAATTTAATTAATTGGTAATTCTTGAAATGAAATAATTTTTCTCTTTGCGAAAATATTATCATCGTGATCTACAAACTCTGCAATTATAATTTTTTGTTAATAAAAGTGAAACGAAAATTTTTGCGAAGAAAAAAATTTGCAGTTATTACCAAGAATCATCAATTAAGGTTTATCACGATCGACTTCTAAGACACTCTGGAAATAACAAAGATATTGAACGACGATCAAAGATGAGTCTGTATTTACATATCATTTGTATATTATAATATATTGATTTGTTTTAGGTAATTTCGATTGATGGTACTCATCAAATGGCATCTCTTATGCATCAGTGGGACAATAATCTTCGTGATTATGTATTATTAATTACATTTCCTACGGACATGAACACAAATCTTAAAAGTTTACTTCTCGCTGCAGCATTTCTTTTGGTATATTTTCTTTTATAAGAAAGCTTGTATTTCATTATATAATTAATATTTATATGATACGTGACATTATAGTAGTTAAATTTAATTTGTTTTTTATTTTTTACTATTATATTTTTTATTTTATACTATTTTTAATTTTTGATTTAAAATATCATATATAATTATATATAATTTAATATATATTTTTTCCAATATACAGATTTTTATAAAATTTCACTTTGTATTATTTGCATGTTTTAGGAATATATGTATTTTGAACAAGTAAAAAGATTATCATCTCGAAATTAATTATCAAACAATTATGATATCGATCTTTAATAATTTTACTTTGTTCCAACAAAATTGAAATAATTATAAATAATATATTTCATAATTAAAATGATCAACTTCCATAATGAATGTAATTTTTATAACGCAAACAGTAATGCAGCGGAAGAATTCTTATAATTTCGAAAATAAATCTTTATATAGTTTCTTCACTTTTTTATTAGATATAAATTTTTGAATGTAAAAGAGCTCAGATATTAGATATTATTTTTTTTTTTTTGAAAGATTAAATAAAAGAAATGAAAAATCTGAATCCAGTCAAGTCTGGCCGATGTTATCTATACAAATAATAAAAATAAAAAGTTATGAAAAACTTATGTACAGTACAATCAGTACATATACAGATCATTTTAAAAATATATAATACTTTGTATTTATTGCAAAATATTATAAATTTATAATTCAGTATGATTACAACAATATTTGAGTATTATTTTATATAATTACTATTTTTTTGTTTGTTGTATTTTTTTTCTTTTTTTTTCTTTATTGTTTATGTTTTCCTGCAATGCAATGAATTTTACAAAATTCAAAAATAAAATATTTTTTATACTATTATATAACCAGAATTTTTCATGAAACATTATTAGTAAAATCGATTAAAAAAATTATATAGTTCCATTTAAAACATTAAAATATAAAAAACATATTTAATCTTGTTCTATGTATTTAATTACAAAAAAAAAACAATATATCAAATCATATCTTCTTCGAAATTCTTTAATTTTTATCTGAAATATTTTTCAAAATATTTAAGAATGAATTTCATTAAAATCATTATTTGAGAAATAATTAAAGTAATTCTATTTACATGCTTCATGACATATTTATATTTAATTATTAATAATTAGAATAAAAAAAATTATTGAGATTACGTTCCATGTAATATCGATATATAAATATCAAATTTTAATTATTTTATGTCTCTCTGAAATATATTTATTTTCAAACATAACATAATAATTTTACAATTACATTAATATAAAGATTTAATTAGATAAAATTTTATTTATAAAGATATAAAATTTTGAAGATATTTTTATTAAAATTTAAAAATTGATAAAATTTGATAAAAAAATTTCAATAATTTTAATTTCAAAAATTCATGATTAAATGTGAATATTTATTTAATTCAATGTTGATCTAAATCTTTTTGCAATTTTTATCAAATTATATAAAAATATCGTAATATATCGGAAGAATTAAAGTTTATCCTTTAATTTATTATTGAAAAAATGAAATATTAAAATGAAATTGTAATGTTATATGTTATTGTTCTAAAATATAAATATACAATAGATAATTATTTGTAACCTCGATTATTCAAATTAGCATTTGCGAATTGCATCATCCTTCCATGTCTATAGATAATAACCAATCAGTAGCAGTACCGATTAATAGTTATTTAATGTATAAATTATATGTTATCTTTATATATTTTACGATATATATACTATAAAACATTTCAATTTACAGCACTATTATATTCAAGTAGCATTATTATATTTAATTAATAATTTTATTGTAATTTCTATATAAATGTAATAATTATATAAAATTGTAAATACACATATACTTTGTCATACAAATATACAACTCAATTTTCCGAATTATTTTCGAATAATTGCCGTTCTATTGTATTTCTAATTAATTATCATTAAATAATCTAATATCTTATAAACTCTAAAACTTCTAATATATACTGTGTAAGTATTAATAAACATATATTTATTTCCTATATGTCGTTAAAAAATATATCTTTTTTTATTTTTCTATTTTCTTATTTTAATTTTATTTCAGATTAATTTTAATACAAATTAACAAAATGGATCTTTTAACTATAATTGGAATGATAGTTGTAATTTATTTTCTTATTTATATTATATTGCCTTGGTTTTTGGATTGTGATTTCTGCCTTGCTTTTTATGAGAAATTTGGCAAACCTATAAGTATTGATATATATTATATATATTACAATAAAAGACAATGATTCTTGTACATATAATATTGTTGAAACATTTTTATTCTTAAATATTTAATATTTTTATGACAGGTTCTTTAGAAGGAAAAATAGTATGGATAACAGGAGCATCAAGTGGAATTGGAGAAAATCTTGCATATGTACTAGCAAAGGCTGGATGTAAATTAATTTTATCATCACGAAAAGAAATAAAATTGGAAAAAGTAAAAACTAATTGTTTACAAAGTAAAATATTTATATAATATTTATATATTATATATATAAAATATTATTTATTAAATATTTAATATTTATATATAAAATATTATTATTTTTATCAATTACTATCATATTTTCACTTATGTTTTTATCATTTTATTATTTATTTATTTTCAGAAAATAAAAATTTGAAAAGTTCAGATATTGAAGTGCTAGTTTTGGATATTCTTGATATAAATAAACATGAATCAGCTTTTAATACTATTATTGCTAAGTTTGGCAGAGTAAATATATATATATATATATATATATATTAAATACTTTTCAACATGAAAATTCATTATCAAATTTTAATTCTGTTTTAAATTAATTTTAGTTGGATATACTTGTAAATAATGCAGGGCGATCTCAAAGAGCAAAATGGGAGAATATTGAATTATCTGTTGATAAAGAAATGTTTGATTTAAATGTGTTTTCAACAATAGCTTTAAGTAGATTAGTAGCAAAATATTTTTTTCAAATGGATGAAGGTCATTTTGTAATTAATTCAAGTATTGCTGGTATTACTGCAGTACCATTTTCTGCTACATATTGTGCATCAAAATATTCCTTACATGTAAATATTTTAATTTCATTAATTATTAATTTCAAACTATAAATATAATTCTTTAATTGTCAAAAATATATATCATTTTTATATGTAGGCATACTTTGAATCTTTATCTATAGAGAAAATAAGTAAAAATATATCTATTACCATAATATGTCCAGGACCAGTAGAAACTAATTTTTTAGCAGAATCATTTACAGAAAAATCTGGTGAAGTATGTTTAATTTGAATTTTATTTTTATGTATATTTTATATATCTTATATATTTATATTTATAATTCTTTATATGTTTTACACAAATATACTATTTTATAGAAATATATAGTAAATGAAGAAAAAAAACCAACACATAGAATGACTGCTAAACGTTGTGCTACATTGATAGGAATCGCAATAGCAAATAAGTTGTCTATAGTATGGATTTGCAAGTCAATTATACTTCAAATGATGTATTTACGAATATATTATCCAAATGTAGGAACATGGTATGTTGGTAAAGATTTATCAAAATTTTAATTAAAATATTTTATAAAATTATTTTATATTTTAGGATAATTAAGCAATTGGGAATAAAATTTTTACATTATTTACGTGATAACAAAAGAAATATTGAAAACAATAAATAAATATTTTTTTAATATTAATAAATAATATTTATTAATATTTTATAATAAAAATTATAATAAAATTATTATATAGATTATGTTCAGTATGTTATGTAATAAAATTATTATATAAATTAAAATCAGAGCAAAAATTATATTTAATATTTTTTTATTTTATTAATATGATTATATTTGATTTATTTTATAATAATAAATATAATAAATTTATTTATTATATTCTTATATTTATATTAAATTATTTTAATAAACATTATGTTATGCTTCATTTTTTGCAAGCATTTCTTTTCTATATTTTTTTCCTTTTATTATTGCATTTTTAAATAACTTACAATAAAGTTCTATAGCACAAGGTGTATCATCATTTCCAGGAACAGGATATGTTATAAGTTTAGGATCACAATTTGTATCTACAATACCAATTGATGGAATACACATTTTGGCAGCGTGTACTACTGCTGTATGTTGTTTAACAACAGATTCCATAGTATTTAAAAATATACATAAATCTGGCAACCTAGTAACTACTCCAAATTCTTGTACAGCATTTGTAAATGTTCCAAGATTCCATTTCCTAGTATGAGCATATTCTTGACATTCCTTTGCAGTACTTTCTACAAGATAAGAAATTTGAGGATTTTTTGCTATGAATAAAATTATTCCATCTTTGAAAGCTATATGAGCTGTGAAATTTAATGCCTGTCGTAATAATTCAGCACTTTTATTTAAATCAATTATTAAATGACCTAATCTAGATCCGAATATAAAAGGTCTCATATGATCATTTAAAGATCCTTCTTTATGACCAAAATGTACTTTTGCATCAAATAAATCTTTAATGGTAAACATGTTATAAACATGAAAAAAATCTGGATGATTTAATGGATCTATTTTTCTTAGATCATCTAAAATTAAAATATTACAGATTTATATTTTATTAATAAAAAATAAAATATTAATAAAGTAATAAAAATAAATATTAAAATATTTTTACCATGTGAAATTTCTTGTTTTGGTTCAACTAATGTTGATAATTTATATTTCGGAAGATATACGAAAAATGATCGCAAATTACTCAACTCTCCATGTACTACAAAAAATGTGTTTCATATTTAAATATATTTAAGAAAATATTAAAAAAGAAAATGTGAATAAAAAAAATATTTACATTTAGATGAGAATGTTCGTGTAATATTAAAAATCATCTTGATTTTCTTAATAAAAAACAATTGTATTATTCAAATCGTTCTATGTAATAGGTTAAGATTGTTTTTTAATAATGTTATTTAATATTATTATAATGTTATTTTGTTAAACAATGTTAAATATTAAATTTATTTTTTTCAAAATGTACAATAAATGTTAACATTGCAATATCATATATTTCACTATACGTCTTTTTATTATAATTTTGGTATATATATAAATATATCTATATGATAAGAATAGTTTTACAATAATATCTCTGAAAATGAATTATTGCACAATTTAAATAGTTAATGAATTTTGTTTTATATGTTTAAATATATAAATATAATAAAATATATATTTTATTTAATTTTTTCATAAAAAACTGAAATATTAAATAGATTAAATAGATTTAATAAATTAATAATAAAATAAAATAAATAAATAAAAATAAGAAAAATATATTATAATAATGTATTGATATATTTTATTTTAACTTTAAAATTATTTACAGCTTAAAATGAAAAGAATACATGAAAAAGAATAAAATGAAAAAAATACTAATATATTAATTTTATTTCTTTATAAAAATATCTTTTTAAATAAAAAATAATATAGATTTTTAAAATACAGAAAAAATATTTAATAAAAGTTAGAATAAATTAAAATTATATAAATTTTTTAATTTTTTATTTTTACATATTGTTTTTCAAAAAGAGAACTATTTATAAAGTAAAATAGATTTAAATAATTTTAATATTTAATATTTATTAAAAAGTTACATAACTTAAATAAATCAATATATATTATTAAGCTTTATTTTATATTCCGCGAATAATAAAACTTACTTATAAAAGATATAAAAAAAATCTTTTTCTTTTTATAAAATTGTAGTTTCGATATAATACAAAATTCTATAAGTTGGTAAATCTATACTGTATTTCATCCATGCTATTGTTGTGTAAAACATTTAATAATATTAATATATGATATCAACGATGAAATTTTTGGAAGAATTTTATATAACATAAATTTCATATAAATAGACAAAAATATAAATATTTATTTAAATGATAAGTGTTTTAAATATTTTTAGTAAGATATCGATAATATTAATATATTTCTGTGTTTCTTTTGATTGAATGAAAAGTTATATATAATTTTCGATAATTATTCTATAAATTATATTATATTCAATATATATTTTATCTATAAATTTATATTTATATATTTGTCACATAAATCGCATAATTTTGTGATGAAAATGAGTGGCGAGGAAGATTGGGATGTAGAACAACATAAGACAGAACATGAATGTGACGAACATTGGGAACTTAAACGCAAATTTCTTTTAGCACATAAAAATAAATTTCCAGAAGACGAACTTGTTTGTTTAGCCCAAGTATTTACGAATGTCGAATTACTTGGCTGCAGGTAATTTAATATTTATAATCTTTTATATTTTACATTTAGTTTGTTTTACAATATGTTTATATATATTTATTTTTAATACTTAATTTAGATATCCTAAAGAAACAATGCAGTTGGTTGCAGAATTAGCTCAAGATATTGTTAGTGAATACAGAGAAAAACAAAAGACTAAGTTGCAAAGAACATTTATAAAAGCTTCTGATGCTGCCAGTTCAAAGGTTAAAGGTATATCTAAGAACTGTGAGTTCTATTATATGTTAAATAATTATGAAAAGGAAAAATTGTAAGAAACATATTTCAATTTTAAATACATACTTTTAAAGAATATATTTTTAGGAAGTATTGCCCCAACATCAAATAATATAGTTGAATCATCAATGCAATCACAATATATAAAATCATTTTATGACACGTCTCACAAAGTACTTGCAAAACGAAGAAAATTGGAAAAATCAATATTACCATTTGGTAATATTGTTATAATAGAAAGACCTGGAGATATACCACAAAATATACTTGCTCATGCAGTTAATACATCAGGAGGAAATTTAGAATGGAAATTTGATAAGATTAGAGATTCTTGGTATGCATATTTTTTCTTTTATTTTTCTTTTTTCTCAGAATTATTTATTTTTATCTTTCTTTTATAGTAAATGCAATATTTTTGTTAATTCAAAGTTATTAGCAGAAGCTTGTGGTTCTAATCAAAAATTAGCAAAGAAAGAAGCATCTGTTATTGGATTGCATGAATTACAGAAACATTATTATACAATTAAGGTTTGTAATAAAGTTTTTTCCTCATTTTCATATATATTAAATTTTTAGTTTAAAGCTTTATTTTAATACTTGATTAGATTAAGCATAATATAAATAGGAATGCCAATGTAATTGCAACAACAATGATAAAGAATATATCAAAAGATAATTATATTTCTGATGACAATATTGGAAGAAAATTAATGAAATTAATGGGTTGGAATGGTGGTGGACTTGGTAAATCACAACAAGGAATAATAGAACCTATCATGTAAGTGTAATTTATTTTACTTTGTGAAATGAATAATTATTTATTTATATATTAATTATATATTTATAGGATTAAACATCAAATTAGTAAAGAAGGTTTAGGATTAAAATCAAATTTTTGCTCTACAAATGATTTAAAATTTAAATGTAATGATATTATGAGGAAATATCTCACCGGTGATATGAAAAATGATTTAATATTTTCTACTGATTTTACAAATGATGAAAGAGCAATAATCCATCAGTAAGTATTTTGTTAATAAAAATTTTCAAAAAATAAATAATTTATTAAATTAAAATATAAAAAAAAATATTCAATATATCTTTCAATATATCTTTTAATTTTTTTAGGGTGGCAAGACAATTGGGTTTAAAATCACATAGTTATGGTCCTAAAAATCAGCGAACATTAGTAGTTTCTCGAAAAATAGATGTTCAAGATTTAGTTGAAGAATTAAAAAATCTTGGAGGAGTTACTAACAAATACGAATTAATTGAACCAACTGAACAGTAAAAAGAATAATACAATTATTTTTGTATGCATAATGTAAATTTTTTGCCAAGATATAATGGCAATTGCAATGTGCACAAATTTTATGAAAATTAAAATATAAAATATAAATTAAAATATATAATGTAAATGATAATTTAAAATACATATTATCTCAATTTTATTATCATATTTGATTTTTATTATGTAAATTATTTTATATTCTCTATTAAAATATACTAAATAAATTAAATGTAAAATATTAAAGCATTATTCTTTTTATAATTTTCTTTTAATTTGAAAAAAAAATTAATACTTGCTATTATGTAATTCTATGAAATTATAATTTTCTTCTTAAAAAAAAATTGCAGTGTATCTTACACTTTTTTGAAAAAAAGTTCCTTGCGCTAATTTTTATTTTCATATTCATCGAGTAGAAAGAAAAAGAAATTTTTAAAACAGAAGTAGAACATTTAATGGTTACAATATTACGAAGTGTGTGTGTGTGTGTGTGTGTGTGCGTGTGTGTGTGTGTGCGTGTGTGTGATCAGGTACAATTTCAATTTCGTAAAATAAAACTGAAGAAACGTTTATTTAATGATATTCGCGCGTTGAACTTATTTCCAAGAACATTGTATTTTGTTTTAGTTGATAGAAGTACAAAATTTTAAGAAGCAAGATTGCTTACAAGTGTATGGGTACGTCGCAGTTGCCGTATAATAAGAATGCTTTGGCAGTAGAACAATCAGAAGTTGAAAGTAATATAGATACAATGGTGTGTTATTTTTTTATTACATTATCACACTATTTAAATCTTGATAACTAAGATAGTTAAAAGTGCTTATACGTATATGTATATACGCTGTACATCTCATTAATTGACAGAAATATCTGATAATGCTCGTACACGCTGTAGTACATTTTATATAATAAAAACAAATTATTAAAAACAAATTAAATATTTAAGACAAATTGAAAATTGAATTTTTTTTTATTTTATTTTAAATAATAATCTTTTAGTTGAATGCTATGGACGGATTATATAGATGTTCTATTACAATTGTTACAATTTTTATAATGCTTTATTAAATAAAATAAATTCCACATTCAACTAAAATTACTGTTTTTTACTTCAATTTCTGTCTTTATAAATCTTGTACAGTATATTAATTAATAAAAATATCATAGATAACTATGATAGCTATAATAACAAATATATCTAATTCTTATAATATATAATTAATAAAAGAAACGATAAATTGATTTTAATTTAAATGGAATAAAAAAAATAAAGGGTGATTATTTATGATAAAGATTAAAAAAAAAACATGCGGCGTATACAAGCATCTTAGAATCTGTCGCTTGAAAACAATGAAAATGTACTGCGCCGCACATTGTACGCGTCTAGATTCATTAATTTTAATTGCCACCAGAGATGAATGATATATTATTTTAAATATAACACATCAAAATTGGGGATAAAGGAAAAAAGTGGAAGAAGGTGAGGAGTAGATTAAAAAGAATCAAGACGTTTTCGAGGCGGAGATTCGTCTTAATCCTTTAAAAAAAAAAGTTTTTCTTAAAGCTTACACAAATTTCCCTCGGGATTCTGTCTTCGGTCCAGGCCCTACATTGAACCGTAATTGACATCTAGAGGGAACATTGCATCTCTCTTTTTGCCATTTTTTCTTCACTTTTGTTTTATATATCAAAATAATATATTTTCTATCTGATAAAAGTGACTCCTCTGTTGATATGTAATTATATATGTATAGACTTATTTATTATTAATTAGAAGATATATCATTGATTGACTAGAAGATATTACGCTTAATAAATAGAGATGCACTTCATCAGTATACTGAAGTCTCTCTAAAGCAGAGCTGATTGTTTGTTCTCCATTTTGTATTTGATACAATTAATATATAGTTTCCAAATTTGCGAACTTTGTAAAAACTATGAATATTCTTTAATTTTTAAAGATTAAAATGGAGAACTAACTGCTAGAGAGAGTATTCGACACTCATCTCCAAATTAGATTAGATTATTGATATGTATTTATATTGATATGTTATGTTGCATTATCATAATGAAAATATTAATACATTATAGCATTATATACTTGCTTTTTCATTGTCATTATCATTATTACCATCGTCTTCTTAAGTAAAGAACATATACCCTGAAGGAACGCGATACTATGCTCGATTTGTACCTGCTTCACTTCTCATGTTTAAAATAGACATATGTATATATGTTTTTTATATACATATACGTATATAAGTATGTACGTATACGTAAATGTATATTTGCATTTTTTTTTATATATATATATATATATAAATGGTATATTTATATTGGACTAAAGTTAATCAGTTGCATAGCAAGAAATTTAAACTATATAAATAATCTTGCTATAATGTGTTTCAAATTTAAATTAACAGAAAAGTAAACAAAAAATTATATAAATTAATTGAGATATTCTTTTTATCCTCTTGCATCGTTTTTTTTCTTAGTTAAATAAAAATTTGTACGTTCCAATAATATTCTAGTGAAAATAATTATATTGTAGAATGATCAATCCAAAGATTTTCCGATTATCAAAGACTTGCATTGATCTTCTTATGTTAACGAATATAATGAATAACGAAAGAATATATCAAGGTAAGTCTTTTACAAAGTATTACAAATAGTATTAAATTATAACGAGCAGTTTAACGAGAAGGAACTAGACACGAATCTGGCTTATCTACGTATTTCTGTTTGATGTGTATCGATGAGGAATAATACATACGAGTATTTCGTTCAAATAAAACCAATAATAACTGCAATCTATATGACAATAGATATTTATAGATTCTAAAATTCTTCTATTTTTTAATCATTTATTTTGTGTTTTAAATATTAAAATAATTTTTTTTAAACATATAGTGGAAGAAGACTTATCTGAAATTTATCTGATTGTCTTTCACTTATTTAACTGTAGATAATTATATATTTATGATATTTTATGAAATATGTTTAATCTAAATTAAATGTTAGTCAACGAAATATTGGTGTAAAATCTAGAAACAATTCAACTTCGATACAACGAAAAACTGAAATTCGTAGAAGGACCTTTACATACGGTACTGTACCAGCAGTAATTATTTAATTTTACAAGCATGTAAAAGATGACGTATAAGTGTATATATGTATATATATACTTATATATACTACATACATATATTTGTATATTGTATACAATAATTCTGTAACGAAAAACACATGCATTGTTTGAACTGCAAGATAGATAGATTCTTTCTTATACATAAATTTACATATGCACGTGTTTTCGAATATTACGAATATTAAAAATTATAGAAAAACCAAAGCACAGCTTCGGTAATAAAATACGAGTAGAATGGGAGTTCGATGATAATAAAATTTAATTTGATATCAAATATTGACATATTTATGCTGCATCAAGCACTAATTTAAAAAAATCAGAGATCAATATAAATAATAATGAATGACTTAACTTTGATTTATGAATTAAAATTACTAGTTATCGATGAATTCAATCTAAATATAAAATTTCTTTCAATTTTTATCTAAAATTATTAATTAAAATATATAAATAATATTAAAATGAGAAAAACATATGTATTAATAAAAATAATTTCTTCAATAAAGGATTCTTTCTTTCTGTATGTGTTTCTAATGATTGCATGTTACATCATACAATGTTAATCACAGAAAAACTTAACTTAATGTTAATTAAACAGTTAATTAAAAGAGTATATTGATCATAATATATTGATCATATTATAACTAATATATATATTTATAGTTTGATTTCAGTTGAATATTTCAATAAAATATAATTAATTAATTTAATAGTTATAACTACATATAATTATTCATCATTATCAAAAAATTTCCATCAATTATCTTCTTCATTTTTAAAATTCCGATTTTCAAATTGTATAATATCACAAAATATAATTTTTAAGAAGTAAATCACATGCCTATTGCAGCGCGAAAATGAGTGATGATATGTCGATAAAGACAGATATACAAGTATTAACCTTGACATTTAGAAAAAGTTTAAACATTCAGTACTCCCATGTCTCTCGATAGCAATAGATATCACTTAACTTATCTCGGTACTCGCTCGATGTATTTTTTTAAAAGCAAACAGTAATAAGAAAACATCGAAAAGGAAAATAGAAATGAAGAAAGAGAAAGAATAATAAAATGAAGAAAGGCGGTGATCATTTTGCAACGATTAGTCAAAGAATCTTCCAAAATTCTTTCTAGAAATATGATAGTGCGATTATAACACGATACAGCCAATGTATATACGTTATAGCCTCTACGTTTAAAAAAAAGCTTATTCAGTCGAGAAAACCAGTTTTCACGAGCTTTTCAAGAAAAAATTTCACGTCTCCCAATTCAGAATCTTTAATACCGATTGATTTTAACATGCCTAGATCGCCATTTTCCACTGCCATAAATACGGAGCGCAAATGTTCCAAATCTGTACGTAACAAATGCAAGGCTGCACCAAAATCCTCGATCGTCTGAGATTCTAGGAATTATAGTTAATTCTTCTAAGATTTAATGTTATTTATTATATATGTATATATATATATATATATATATATATATATATATATATATATTATATATTATATATTATTTAATATATATAATAATTTACTTAAAAATTTTTATCTGTCTATTATGAATGTTTTTAAAGATTGATCTATCTTTAAAGAAAATTGTAATAATTACCGGAAAGCGCTATAGCAACTGTATTCACTCCACCAAGAGGCTTTAAAGTATCCCGCGCTTTTGTCCCGAACAATTTCTCAAGATAATTTGGACCATGACTTGCCAACAATGATTGCAGAAAACTAGCAGTTTCCTCTACTGGTGGTCTTTTCGCTAAAACAAATAATAAAATATTTTAATCAAATCTTAAATATAAAGATTATATAAAAATTTTTTATAATTATCTAATGTCTAATTTAATCAATATTATTTTGTATTATTTTTGATATATTATAAGAATAAAAATTATTGTTATTTATATTTATTAAAATAATCAATTTCTACTTATATATATTATAGTAAAGAATGGGGAATCAATGTTACAATATATAAATGAATATATTAATCTAGTGATCTTAATCAGTTAAAACAACTATATATAACTATATATAACAACTATATATAAACAGTAATTATGGACAAGCATAAATTAGATATGCCTAAAACTCGATTTGTGTAATGCAAAAACTTTTTCGAAATCTATTCCAATTCAATCGATTTCAATTTTCAATTTCAATTTTGATATATTTCATTGAATTAATTTTTTATTTTAAAATTTAATTAATTAAAGAATTAATTTTAAAACTTAATAAGAATTATCATTTTATATTATTTTTATATTTAATAAGAATAAGAATACATTATTATTACAAAAAAAGTCCAGAAATAAATTCAAAAATTAAATTTTATTATTATTTATATAAAAAATAATAAAATTAATTAAAGAAAATTAGAAAATTTTACCAGCTGTGCATAATCGCGAATCTTCATCATATCCATCTTGACAATCGGGAGCTCCATCACATAGATATTGAATCGAAATACATGTATCGTCTCCTGGACATTTGAATGGCTCATATGGACGACAAGCATCTCCTATAATAATAATAATAATGATGATGATGATGATGATGATGATGATGATGATGAAAAAAAATAATAACAAATTTTATCACTTTTATTATTACTTTATATAATTAATTTATTTTAAATAAAAATTTTTTAATAATATGTAATATATTGTATGTACAAAATGTATACATATGTGTATCATACATATCTCCATTTGATGTATATGTTGAATACATATCATATATCAGAGCACGCGTTATACAAGATACATATATATATATACATTAGAAATTCAATTTTACGGAATAAAATAAATATAAAAGTTGGATAGATAATTCAAAAATATCAATTGAAACTTATTTATTAAGTTATAAGCAATTTAAATTTGATTTTAGATGAAGAAAAATAGGAATGAAATGTGACAATGTAATTAAAAACGTTTCATTCTATTTTTATTTTATTTTGTCTAACGCAAATTTCAATTTATAACTTAATAAATAAACTTCAAATAACATTTTTGTATAGAATTTTTGTATTTGTTTTTGTTTCCAAAATCGATTTTCCAAAAATAAGGTTCCATATTATAAACCTTATCATCTTATATATGATTATGAATATGTGTATTAACTTCGTAAATAATAATATCCAAATTAGCATACATAGCAATTATTAGTGGTTATATACGACATTGATTGATGAATATTCTTAATTAATCGTATCATCAATCATTTTCTCAATCAATTACGTATTTTAAAAACATTTAAATTCGCGAAATTATATAATTCGAGTCTTCTACAATTCATAACTACAATAAATTTCATGTTGTTTATTATTCAAAGGATTTACCATTGATAAAATAACATCTATTGCTGGCATAAATTATCACATTGCGTTGAATAAACCACAACGTTTGTATCACGAAGATGAATCGTGATATGTTTAATGTACCACGTGGACTCAAATTGCCATTTCAATGATGTTATCCATCAACACAATGGATCATTGTATCAAGATTAAAACTTACATGATATATCATAGACTTTGGATAAAAATGATTTATCAATGACCATAAATAAAGAAAACATATATTTTAAGAAAAATATTCTTGGATAAATGATATTATGTGCATGTATACATTCATAAATTATTCCAATATAATACCTTATCTATGCAAAATAATATAAGTATAATTATATTACTATCAAATGCAATTAATTTTATCATCTAAATAGTTTACAATCTAACAATAAGGTGTATTAATTGAATTAATTAAGATTATATTCGTTTCCCATTGATTAAGTTTAAAACATGAATAAATACTTACCTGAACGTTTCGTGTTGAAATGACCATAAAATCGACTTAAGTCGATCGCCATGACAGCACGCGGAAAAAAAACGCAAGCACTTAGGGCGAGGCTAAGCGCAGCTACACTAATGCAAAGTCTCTGAACCATTCTTAGTCAATAGATATTATAATTAAATTAATTTTTCAAGAAGGCAAGTTTCACGCGCACTTCGCGATTTTCTTTAATTACAATATAAGAACACAGAATTACTCTCTATCAATAATATCAAAGAATATAATTTCCGAGAATATAATTTCTTTGCTAAGTATTATATTAGTGATAATTCCTGATACACTGTTTCTTTAAACAAATATACACATATGGTTTCTTTGCTTCTACTTTTTCACTTTTATGATTTTTTTTTTTCGTTTTCACAGCCACCTATCGTCTCCGTTTGACACCGAGTGTCTGACGCGTGACGCGAGTATACAAGCACTATGAACACACCTGCGTACTTAGCACATACTACATGTCAAATATGTAAAGACCCCACTCCTTTCAGCCGTGTGAGCTCAATAGTGGGAGATATGTAAAATATATTTGACCAATCAGTCAGCAGGTCTTGTTGGCTACGACCAATTAAAATTGGCGATATCAAACGTTTTACCCTGAAACACCCACGCGATCCTTTTCTACCACATCTCATCGATTTCAACCTCCTCATACTCGTACGTAAAGTTTGTTTATCATTATAATTCAAGCAGCATAAATACTTTTGGAAATTAAAGTATATAAATTTCATGAAATTTTGGAGAATATTCTATTTAATCTATTAATTTCTAAAAATTTAATCACGAACAAATTTTTCTTTCTCCACCCTTCATATCTCGAATTATTTCTTTATATGTGAGTAGGGACAGATATTTTTACAAATTTTTTAAGTCATATATAAATCATATTTTTAAAAAATTTAAAAAAATAAAAATTTTTTAATTGATTTGAATTATTTAATATTAAAATTTTAATAAATAACATATAAAATAATAACAAATAATAAAAATAAAACAGTGAATCATTATTTAACTCTTTATATATATTATATTATATCTTTATATATTTTTATATGCATATTGTTATATGTATATTGTTCATATTATTGATAAAAAACTTATTAATATTAAAAATTTTAAAATAATGTTAATATTAAAGGACTATGTTTTTCGTTTAAATATATATTTTGAAAAATCATTTTGAAAAGTATTTTAAAATAATGTATAAAATTATAAAAAATACATTTATAATATAAGTACAATAGAATATATTATTCTTATATCTCGTAATTATTTAATTTATAATTAAATTATAATTATTTTTAAAATTAAATAATTTTTCAGTTTAAAAGAAATTTTAAATAAAAAAGATTATAATTTTATATTAAAATTATAATAAATTAATATTCACTAAAATAAATAAATAAAATAAATGTTATAATTTATAATAATTTATAATAATTTATAAATTTGAAAATTATTTGAAAATTATAAATTTGAATATAAATAGAAAATGTTAAATACATAATTCCTAACGTACATATATTATATAGATATATATTATATATTATATAGATTATTGATTTTTCCTAGGAAAATCATATTAATATTTATTTATCTAGCAATTTAATAGATTTTTTATATTTAACTATTTTTTTGTTTAATAAGATTATAATTAAATAATATATACATATTTTATTTTTAAAGAATATAATAATAATATATATAAATAATTTTTAATTAAAATTTTATTAAATATTTGTTTTATTTTAACATTTTTTTAATATAATTTAAATTATTTTATTTATATAATATTAATTATTATATTTTTTTATGAATATGCTAGAAATAAAAAAATATAATGAATCAAAAAATTAGTATTATTTGAAGATAGCAGTATATATATATTATTTATATAAATCTATCATTAATATCATTCTATTATATCATAAATGATACAATAACTATGAAAACGATATAACTCCCGCGGAAATTTTATATCGTACATAACCTGAAAAAAATATTGATATACATATGTGATCTAAGCATCTATATAATGTTTCAGTAACAGATTTTATGTAGTTACGAAATGGAGTTAATTAAATAATTACAAAGAAATGCAAATGTTAATTGATATATCAGGATGGATAGAAATAACAAGATATCGAGTTAATAGATGAAAATGTGTTGCACCAAATTTTAAAGAAATTTACAGTATGGAAGATTTAAAATGTAAATTTTTCGGTCTTATTAATAAACAGGTAAATAAATATATGATAAATAATGTGATAATAAATGTAATTTTTTTTTCCTTTTTATTATGCTTTAGGTTATGTCATGATATTATTTTTATAGTTAATTTTTTTAATTAATATATTATAATAAATTTTAAAATAGTTTTCTTTCAAATAACAATTCTTAAAATAATTTTCTTTTAAATAATATTTAAAGAAAAATTATTTTAAACAAAAATTAATATGATATTTATATTTTCTATTATTATTTAGAATGCAATCAAAATACCACTTATGGGTTTACATCCAGATCTATTGAATCCATCGGAATCACAAAAATCAGATGAAATACAATCAGAAGCTGATCAATCAACAGAAAGTGAACCTATTCCTGATCAAGATATATTAGAATCTATAGAAGGAATTTATTTTAATACAGATCATAATTTTGATCCTTGTAGACATGAATTAGAAAAACTACCAAAGATATTGCAATCTAAAGATATTGAAAAATGTTACAAAAAACTGAAACAACAACATCAAGTTGTTTCAAAAAAAGTTCTACAACTTATTTTACAAAAACAAAGTACTTGTAGCAAAGAATTTGCAAAAATTTTATTAATACAAGAACAGTTACAAGATGTATTAGAAATCTGTAGAATGGGAAGAGCAGATTTAAAATTAGCTGAAAGACAATTTACTACAGCTAGTTTAGGAATTTTAGCAAATTATAAAAAACGACAGATTGTAGAAAAATTATTAAATAATTTAAATACCATAAAAACATTGGTAAATATTTTTTATTTTAATTTATATTTATTTCATAATTTATTAAAATAATAATAAATTAATTATTGTGATTTTTTTTAGCAACGTACAGGAGATAGATTGCAAGAATTATTAAATGAAAAGAATTATCCTAGAGCAATTTCATTGCTTTTAGAATGTCAAAGTGCAGCACAAACATATAAACATTTTCATTGCATTGCTGCTTTAAATGGAAAATTGCAGGATATTTTAGAACAAGCAGAAGAAGCATTAGATATTACATTGTCAAAGATGTGTACACAATTTGATGTAACAATATATACATCCATTCAAGAAGCTTATACTTTATTAGGAAAAACTCAATCTGCAATGGATCAATTGCATATGCATTTCACTGCTGCAATTCACAATACTGCTTTTGCAGTTGTTCATTCATATGCAGGTGGAGATACAAAAAAACAATATAAACAACTTTGTCAATCAGTACCCCGTGAAAGTTGCATTATTTGTTTAACAGAATTATGTAAATCACTCTGGACAATATTAAGTTCTTACTATTTGATAGTAAATTGGCACAATACACAAAAAAATAAAATTGAACAAAAAACTGATATAAAAAATCTAGAAGAAACTTTCAGCAAACAATATGTAAAACATAAATTAGAAAACAGTATGATTCGAGTATGGCACGACGTCGAAATGAAAATATCGATATTTTTGATAAATGCTGATTTGACTTATATTAAATTTGAACAGTTTGTTCAAGTTTTAGGAATAGTTAATAGGTAAATATTTTATGTTTCTATATAAATTTAATTTAATTTAAATTATATTAATGAAAAATAATTACAGATTAATGGAAATTGGAGAAGAATTATGTGGTTTCAAATCAGAAAATTTGCAAGAATCTATAAGAAAACAATCATTATCATATTTTTCTCATTATCATGCATCAAGATTGGATGAACTTAGAATATTTTTAGAAAATGATGGTTGGGAACTGTGTCCTGTCAAATCAAATTTTGTAGCAACGCAACTACAAGAATTTAAAAGTTTAAAACCATCTTTAACTAGTTGTAAAGTATGGAATAATTTTGATTCGAATGTTGGTGAAAATGATAGTACTATAAGCACAGAATGGATTCAAAAATATTTAGAAGGAGGTGCATCTCCATTTTCTATAGGTTTAGATGATACAATGGATGAAGATATTTTAATAAGCAATGAAGTATGATATTTAGAATTAATTTATTCTTTTTATAATAATTGACAATATAATATATAAAATAATTTGTATTATATAGGATAATCCTCCAGCGTATTTTTCTGATGAATCGGACGATGATATTCCAGATGAATTAAAACATGAATATGTCGATGATTCAGATAATATCAAAACAAATAAAAAAAAATGTAAACTAAAACAATCAGGACCTATGGTTACAAATACGACACTAAGTATATTGCGAATTTGTGGAAAGTATTTACAAATGTCTAGATTATTACGATCAATTGCAATCACCGTTATACAGAGTATGATACAGTTTTACGAATTATGTTTTTATACTGTACATTTATTTTTTACTTCAGACTTAGTAAGTTTTAGTAAATTATTTTATTAAGAAATTAATTATTTTCTATCGAGAAATTTATTAATAAATAATATTTCTTTTAATAGCAAATAAATAGTGATTCTTTGTATAGTCCAAAATTAAAGTTATCTTTAGCAAGAATTAAAGAAAATTTAATTATTTGTGAAAATGATACGGAAGATAATATTAAATTAAACTCTGATAAAGTGCGTCAGCCACAACTATCTTCCATTGTAAATTTATCACAACCAGAAAAACTTCATGGTTTGACGGAACGTATTGTAGGAGTGGAATCTTTAATATTTTTAGGCCAACAATATGAAAGTTTGAAAGCATATCTAGAACATCTTATTGGTGCTAGTCCTCAACGTGGTTTTCTTCATCAATTTTATATGCAAACAATAGCATCAACTATAGATCTAAGGAAACCAGTATATATGGCTGTAGCATCCCAAACATTTGATGTTGCAAATATTTTAAATTTGATGAACAAAGTTAATTGGGAAGTGACTGATGTTATGTCCCAACATAGTAGATATATTGATGCATTACTTCAGGTATTTATTGTAACTTTATATAAATAAAGTTATATAAAATAAGGTATATAAAATAAATATTTTACTTTATTGAAAATTATTTTCTTATATTTATTATTTTTTTCATCTTTAATTTTTTTTTTTTTTTTAGGAAATATCTGTTTTAAATGAAAGATTAAAAAATATCGGGAGTTGTCTTCCTTTAGCAGATGATGTATATAATTCTATTTGGGAAAATGTAGCACATTTAATAACTCATACATTAGTAGAAGGGTATGTCATTTTATTATTT